ATGTAATGTAATGTAATGTAATGTAATGTAATGTAATGTAATGTAATGTAATGTAATGTAATGTAATGTAATGTAATGTATGTATGTATGTATGTAATGTGATGTAATTTAAAGTAATGTAAGGTGATGTTGTGTAATGTAATGTATGTATGTATGTCTGTATGTCTGTCTGTATGTATGTCTGTATGTATGTATGTATGTATCCTTGCACTTCCCCTTTGCTCCCCAGTATTTCCCGCAAAAAAACACTGTTTTTCCAGCGTTTTCGCAAAGAGGATGTCCAAAAACACAGAGTTTTTCCAGATTTTCGGCAAAAGGATGCAGGAAGCCCAAGCCAGCAAAAAGCCGGCAGGGGGAATCGAGCCTGGGACCCCTGTTTTGCGACACCGGGTCCCCGAAGACTACGTTTAGTGGAACGTCATCAAATTGCCGCGCGGTCCTTTGGGGGGGGGGGCCGCGGTCCTTTGGGGGGGGCCCCCCCCCCACGTATCAGACGTCGGGTGGGGGGGGGGTTAGGGGGGGGGGTTATCCTCTATCCTCTCTTAGGTGTCCGACACGCCGAGCAATGTCGGCGGACATATTACAATGTGTGCAGACTATTGGTGGTCTATTGCTTTTTGTTTAGGGGAGGACGAGAAAGGGGACAACCTAGATTTGCCAAAAATTTCGGAGGGCCCAGCCTCAAATTTTCCCCATGTCCTGTTGCGGAAACGTCCGGCCTGGTTGTCCGTTTTCGTCACCTGGCGGCGCCTTGGCTCCTTTGTACGTCTCAGGTCTGGGTCCAGGGGCGCTTTCAACGCCCGAGGTGACAAAAAGGTCCGTCTGATTTCCTGGCAGCGAGTGAGGAAAAGGTCAAGGCAGATGTGTCTCGATTCCTTTCCAAGCATCGAGGACAAAGTCGGCTACTTGTGGATTTGGTCCTCTTGAGCTCCAAGCTTTGGGGTCTCCCGAAGTGGATTGGATTGCAGGCAGGCTTCTGGGGGCTGTTGCAAAATTTTTCCCGGTTTTTTTTTGTTTTTTTCTTTTGTTGCGAAGGGACAGCTGGCAACACAGCTGCCCCTGGAGCATGTCGAGAAATCGAATTTCGCGGGCACCTTGAGGTCCAGGCTGTGGACCCTGCGCACGATTCGGGTTCGTCGGATCGATTTCCGCCGGGCGCTTGGGCTCAGCTTGAGCCCTGAACAGGGCTTCGGAGGCGGGGGCGGGTTCGTTGAGAAGCTGAGCCAGTGGCTGGGTTCCTCTAAGATCCGGTTCACTCCCAACACCCCCTGATGTTTTTGTTCCCTGAGAGCCAGCAACAATCATTTGGGTGGGTCAGGTGAAAGTTACGGGGTTGAAGGTTTCGATGAAGGTACGAAGGGCCCCGCAAGCGAGAATGCACCTGGTACAGGTTTCTTGGCATTGGCCCCCTTCAGCCGAAACTGCTGGCCAGCGAATGGGGAGGATATGGGCGGAGCCCAACCAGCCTCAACCAAAACTGGGGGGGCGGGGAGGCGGGGCCAAGCTTGCCATGTCCTTTTGGCCTCGCTTTCATAGAAGCTGACAGGTAGTCCCTTCAAAAGGAAGATGGTTTGCCAGAGACCTCCATTCAGGAAGTTTTTTTGGAGCACAGGGTTGCGCCGAGCGCTTGTGCATGTGAATTGTTCCTGGCCACCAGGAAAATTTTCAACTTGACAAAGATGATCCGAGGTGCCAAACCCGAGGCCACTTCTACATGGTCGGCTTCCTTCAAATCTGTTCCACCGGTGGCTCCCTCTTTTGGCACGGCAGGGCTGTGCCAAAATTCAGCGCCGGAAAGCAGAGGGAGTTGGGCCGTTTCTTGGGAGTTTGTGTTTTTGGGTTCTGGTCTTAAGATTGTCGTGCCTTGAATTGATGAGAGGTACAATGAGTTAAAGGCTGTTGGGCCGAGAACTGAGTTTAGGTTCCATTTCGATTGTTCTCTCTTGATGTTCCAAGTTACCAATCTGGCTCAAGCGGAATCGACATTCTTTCAGCTGGGGCATGACAATCCTTGTCTCGTGCAATATGACTGCTGCGACCGTACCCTGTGCAAAGCTCGTGATGGGAGCATTTTGTCGACGGTGTCCGAGACTTTGTGAACGGGCAGCCGAATCATTCTGGACCTGAATTGAAGTCTCGCAAGTGCCGAAGCACCTCACGATCATGGTGTGTGCTGTTTGTGTGCCACCATCCCCAGACTCGCCGTATGTGAAGGGTGGCGGAGTGGTCCAAGTCGCTTCTTGCGGCCTGGGTTTGCGCCTACATGTTTCCGCTGGAGGGGTGTGGTGGCAAAAATCGCAGCGTGATCTTGGCCACGACATCCCTTCAGGGTAAACCAACCCAGATGGGCAACATGCACCTTTCAGCAGCGCCATGAAGCTAGACAACCCTCCCTGCACGTTCCACCAGACTCAAGATGTCCATGTCCTCGGAGCAGGTGGTTAAACCGGGCCAAGGCCCTCAGGCCACCACTTCATGGCCAGGTCAAGGCTGGATCACGCGCAACAGTGCTTGAGACAGCTAGACTGCATTCCTTGAATAAAAAGCGCATCTTCGCGTCATCTTCGTTCGGAATCTTGGCATGGATGACGGCAACGGATGCAGACAAAGAAGCTCCAATTTGGCGAACTGGAAGCTGTGGCCGGGGAGCTTGCAGGCACCTATGGGTTTCGGGCCTGTTCCGGCCCTTCGTAGACTTCTCCACTGAAATGAAGAGGGCCTGGCGGCCATGCGGAAAAAGAAAAACACCTGCCCTTGTTTCGGCGGTTCCTTTCCAAGGCAAGCCCGCCAGATAGAAAGCAACTCACAGGGGGCTTAGTGGGAGACATCTTGCAAACTTGCCGGTGAACTTGAGGGGTTCATCCACACCCAAAACAGAGTTGAAGGATCGTTCAAAGGAATCGGAGCCATAGGCCTAAGCAGACTCTGCTTTTCGGTTGGCCAGAACTTCCTCTGCACTTTTTGGATTCTTAGTTTGCCCTTACCTTAAAAGGATTAGTTTGGTTAAAAACTATGGCGCTGCTTTGAGTTTGGTTTGGATCATTTGCCGGTGCATCTAGTGTTTTTTCCTGGACACCCACGCGAGCTTTTTGCAAAGGTCAACGATGGCGTGCCCGTGTTTGCCTTTCTGGAGGGTCAAGTAGAACATTGGTGAACGGTGTCCCTTGCTTTCCCCTTCCAAATGGGTTGCCATTTTCCGGGTAGTATATCAGGGGTGTTCGCCAACGTGGGCAGAGGGGCGACAATGGCCGAACAATCAAAGACTAGGCCTATTCGAATACCATCCCCAAAAAGTACAGTGACCATGTTTTTGTTCTTCTTTAATATACAAGAGCCTCTACCAACCATGGTTCCTTGGGTCTTCCTTGGGTCTTGCCACGGTTTCATTTCGTGGTGCCTCAAAGGAATGGGATCCCATCTTGGGGTAGGTGAATTTCACCCATTTTAGTCGGGATTTGTGTGGTTGGATTGAACCGGATGTTCACAGGGGGCTTAACCGATTTGGATTTTGACCCATGGCCATGTGTCCCCCCAGTAATCCTGTGGATGGACGAAACCCATTTCGCACCACCTAAGAAGCCATGGGATGATGGTTTCCTGGTAAATACCAACAAACAATGGCTTCCCATGGTTGGAATTTGCTGCAGGATTTTGACCCATGGCCATATCCACAGTCTGCCTCCCGGAGGCCGCTCATGGCCTGAATCGCCGCCCTCGCCCAGCGAGGAGCGAGAGAGGCGAAGCTGCGGGATTTGCTTTTTGGTCTGCGAGACCCTAAGCCTCCAGTGGAGCCTTTGTTTGCCTGTGTTTGTGTGTTTGTTTGTTTGTTTGTTTGTTTGTTTGTTTGTTTGTTTGTTTGTTTGTTTGTTGGTTTGTTGGTTTGTTGGTTTGTTGGTTTGTTTGCTTGTTGGTTTGTTGGTTTGTTTGTTTGTTGTTTTGTTGGTTTGTTTGTTTGTTTGTTTGTTTGTTTGTTTGTTTGTTTGTTTGTTTGTTTGTTTGTGTGTTTGTTTGTTTGTTGCATTGCTTGTTGGTTTGATTGTTTGCTTGTTGGTTTATTTGTTTGTTTGTTGTTTGTTTGTTTGTTTGTTTGTTTGCTTGTTTGTTTGTTTGTTGGTTTATTTGTTTGTTTGTTTGTTTGTTTGTTTGTTGGTTTATTTGTTTGTTTGTTTGTTTGTTTGCTTGTTTGCTTGTTTGTTTGTTTGTTTGTTTGTTTGTTTGCATTTGTTTTGGGGGTGGATCGGGGATGCGTGTGTGCGTGAGTGTGTGTGTGTGTGTTCTTAAACTAGGTCTGTTCTTTTTCTTGTTTGGTTCCCCTTTCTTCGGGGGGAAGGGAGGGAGGGGGTGTCTGGCTCCCTCTGACAGGAGTGGGGGTGAAATCAACCCTGAATAAAAGGGTGGCCATATTTTTGCCCTCGGGGAACTCCAAATTTTCAAAGGGCACCAGTTAAGAGGGGCCTCTCAAACTTTCTGGTGCGATGGGTAGGGGTTTGACCCAGGGTTTGGGAAGGAACCTAGGGATTCCCTTACAGGAAACCATTGGGATGAGTTGTGAGGGGTCACTCCCTGCCCGAACCAGCTCGCTGAAAGCCACCGCCAAGAGCCAGGTGTCACTTCCCTCAAACTCTCCCGCAGCTCTGAGGGAAAGCAGCCCCGGGCTTTTGGCTTGTTTTTATTCGGATTTGAAGGGAGACTGCGGTTTTGCGGGGAGATCAATGCCGGGTTGCCCCCTTCCTCACTTGAAACCCTGGGGAAAGACTTTGATCCTGCTGAGCTTATGGCTGAGCTTGCCTCATGCATTGCCAGACTCCCCGCTCACTTCACCGTTTTTGGCCAGGCTTGCTCCCCATGCATTGGTGGATTTGCCCTGGAGGTTGCACACCTCGTTGTGCATGGTATGCAAAGGGGGAAACCAAAAGCCCAACTTCACCACATGTGCGAGGATCCAGTTTCTTGCTTGCCGCACGCCCGATCGGACCCGCGCGAAGGTGCACCCAAAGGACATGTTTGGATCGTTGGACGGTTTCAGTGTCGAGCGGCTCGGCAGCACTGTGCTTTGCTCGGTGGCTTTTAGTCTGACCGAAACAGTTCCGCTTCCTGTGGCGAGTTCATTGGCTTGCCCCGGTTTCCTTCAAGTCAATTGGATGCCACTCGATTGGTTGCCAAGATTGCGCTGGGTTGCATATGTTTGTCTACCCTTGTTTTCGGTCTCCTTGGATTGCCACACCTTTAGGGTTAGGAATGGAGCCCATTTCGGTATCGCAACCAAAATATGTGCATCCGCCAAGTCCCTGTCGCTAACAGGCACAAAATACAAACTTGAAAACCCGCTCGGAACTTCTTCAAACCAAGTCGGTAGGTCCGACCATGGTGGTGGAAAATTGTGTCAAGGGCCGCTTTAGCCATGTTAAGGGAATCCCATTTAAAGGGCAAATTGGTCATAGGGGGTTGCCTACTTTGGTATCACAGATTTCGGCTTATATCAAGGGAATTCCCATTCAAAGGAACAACTTGTTACTTTCCTAGAACCACAAATTGGTATCATAGACAAGGGTTATCCTCTCCATCAACATGAAGCCCACCCGAGGGTCATTTGTTTTGTAGATAATGTCTGCCAGCACCCCCAGTCAGATTCCATGTCCGTAAAACAGGGTATTTTCCTCCACTGGCCACTTAGCTTTTCCGACGTGGACGTGATCAAGATCTTCGTGCGGAGGAGCTAATCGAGGGAACTTGCGGCTCATGCAACATGTGCCACGGTCACAACACTACACTTAGGAATTGGTCAAAACACCTTGGAATTGGTCAAAGCACCTTTATGCTTGGGAGTTGGTCAAAACACCTTGTACTTCGGAATTGGTCAAAGCACCCTGTTAGGTCAAAACACCTTTAGACTTGGGAATTGGTCAAACGACCCGAATGCCTGGGAATGGTCAAGCCACCTTTCTACTTGGCAGCTGGGCAAACCACGTCTCTACTTGGGATCGGCGAGGATGGTCATCAGTCACCTGGGGACTTCAGACAACCATGAGACTGGGGGTCCTATGAAGGGGATCCATGACGCTTTGACCGTGGCTGAAAAACCCCTTCGAAGTTGGCACTGGATGGATCTAGTAAACCCAGTCGATTCATATGGGTGCCTCTGCTTCGGAGTTGGTACGTTTTTGTTTTTTGCGGTTTTACATGGAAGCCGAAAGGACACCCCACCCATTTTGCGGGTCCCACCAACAAAAAGCGGTGTCCCGTTTTTCGTCCCTTTTTCCTGAGACTCCGGCAATTGTCACGCCTGTGCTTTTTTTGCTGACCCCCCTTTGGGGTTGTTGAACAAACAGACACCAGGGAAAACGGCAGTGGGGGGTTGACTTGTTGTTCCGGGTTCGGGTTCTGATTCCGCTTCTGACGCCGTTTTACTTGCCGAGAGATTGCTGAGGTGCTCACCGATTGCGAAATGGGGTACACGAAATCCATACGATTTTGAGGGGATCTCATGGGTGCAGTCCGAGAGGCCGATACGCCGATACGTGCGGAGAGCCCTTAGAGGTCGGCCTTTTCAAAGGAACCATGGGAAAGCTTTTGTTTGTGTTGTTTCAAACAATTATACACAATGCAAGGCTTTTACAAAAGCTCGCTGAATGCTTGCCTCTCACAGCCGCTCACATTGCACCATACGATTTCAGTAGAATGACACTGTCAGCGTTTGCCCGAGGATCATCAGGAGGTTTGCGTGTGTTCCCCGGCAAGGAGGTCACTGTCCTGTAGTCATCCATTTCAGGGCAGTTTGGTTAGCAATAGATGGCACTGGTTTGGATGGGTTGTATTCCATTTACCAGGGCTATCATTTTACCAACAGGTCGTCGTCCAGACTGTAAGTGGCTACGTACTTAACACACTCTTCTCTCGTGCTGACGATTTTGGCTTCGCAGTCCCCACCCCAACGGCGCCCATGGCGCCGACATCCTCGCAGGAACGGTACCTCCGATGCTTTGCGAGAAGTCTTGCAGGAGGCCAAGATGTGAATAAGCAGTGCCAAGCGATGCGGCCCACAAGGCGATTTTTAGTAGGGTTGCGTTACTGCCCGGTTTCACAGAGGTGGCAAAGTCGCGCAGGAATGAATTGACTTTTTTCTGCGGCTGCTTTCTGGTTGGATCTTCAACCTTCAACTTTTGGGAACCGTGTGCCTTCTGGAATCACCTGTAATGCCCAAGTCTTTTTCTCTGAAGTGCTTGGCACCAAACTTGCGTTTGTCAGCCCCTCTTGAGGTGGAATTCAATCTTTCCTTCGGTACCACTATGATTTTGTATTGGTATATGCACAATTGTTGGATATGTATATATATATATATACATAGAGAGGTCTTATTAAACCGCCATAGCTGTTCCTTTGGAGGGGGTTTCTCGCATGAAGCAACCAAATTCCGAATCGCGCGCCGAGTCTGCCACCCAACTCGAAGTTGACGGACCTGCTGGAGAAGTGCACCAAGGCGATGCCCAGTCCGATGGAAGATCGGTTTCGCTCAGAAGTTGCGTGCTGCGGACATGGCGTGCCTTCGGAAGGGACACCCAACAATTCCCTAGTACGGCCTGAAGGTTTTGCCCCGGACTTCCAGGATCCCCTTGGCACGGAACATTTGGTTTTGGATTGCAATTTGCCAATGGAAGCCCCTGGTGATAAAGTCAGACTGGGAATCCTACTATGCATGTCTCGGGTCATTTTCCACAGCCATGTTCCATTGTTTCAAGGTTTCCACCAAAAAAACGGCCGAGCTTTTGTTTGTATGTTGTATTCCATGTCTCCGGTGGTAGGGGCCATTTCATTTCCAGGGCAATCAGCATGGGGCTTCGGGAAGGAACCGGGGAAAGGACACCACCATGCCTCGGGGCCATTCCATCTTGCCAATGGAACCAAGAGAAAGGTTCATTTTCCGAAGAAAATGGGACCCCGGCATTGGGTTTGTCTTTTTTTTTCGGAGTTGGTACCCCTCTTTTTCGTGGCTGTAACGAGAAACTGCCAGGAAAGCCGTTTCGCATCTTTTTTGTTTGTTTTTTCTTTGGGGGGTCCAACCCAACCGACTAGCCGCCTATTAGCGTGTGTCCCCTTTTTAGGGAACTAAATCAACCATGACTTGCCTTCAAGCGTTTGGTTTCCCTTATAAAACCCAACCCCAGCCCAAAAACGGGTGCCAGCCAAAAAACGAACAACGAGCGCCCCACCGTCCGTCCGTTCCTCCGCGCCTCCGAGCCGCGCCGAGCCGCGGCGACTCGATCGATTCGTTAGGCGCTGGACCTGGAGCCGCCGGCGGCAAAGGCGTTTCACTCCAACGGGGTGGAGTGCACCGACGTGGACCAGGTGGACCAGGCGCCGGGGCGCGCTCGGCCGGCGCTCATCTGGGGAAGTCGGAAGTCCGGGGGTGGGGGGGGGGGCCTTGAGGCGGTCTCTCCACCCCATTTTGGGTTTCGGGGGGAAGGAATGGGTTTCTCTTGGTTGGTTGCCAGTTTGGAGGGGAGGATCTGGTGGCAGGCACAATATGGCTGATGTTTGTACGAAGTGGAGTTGGTTTGGATATGGGTGAAAGGGGGGTTATGTTGTTTGTACTCCGTTTGCTGGACGCTTAGGGTTTACTTGTGGTGGGAGCTGGGCCCCGACCGGCCCCGAGTCTCGCTGTGTGTGCTTCGCGTTGTGGGTACTGGTTTCGAGTAAACGTGAAATGGTGTTAGCTTGCAGCCTGTCTCTGCACGTCAGGTTAGTTTGAGACTTGTTGAGCAGAAACTTGATGAGCCGAATAACTTGACTAGAGGTCTTCCCAGAAAATCTACGTGCGCGTGCGCTTGCAGTGTTTTTGTTTCTTCTTTTCCTTTGTTTTTTTCTGGGTTTCAAGGGAAGCTGAATTTGCATTGGGCCACATTCTGAGGGTTACCCTATTCAACTACGAACTCCAGCAAAGCATCCAGTATTTGTCTATGGCCCATTTGCGAGGGCACAGCTCACTCAATCTCCCACAACAACCAGGGAGCTCGCTAATTATGTCATGTGTGAAACCGCATGTCACATTCAGGCGATGAACCGCCTAACCGCCGCTACTGGGCTCTCAGGGCCCTTGAGTCTAGATGGAAAAGTGCCGTTTGCTATCGAATCGGCGTGACACCCGCTTTCAAACTGGCAGCGGAGCCATGCAGGAAACCGACATCGCCAGGGAGATCCTGCAGGAGGCTTAGCTACCTGCAGAACATGTCCCTGGATGGCTTCAAGTACCATGCCTTTAGGCCCCAGGCCGTTTACCCAGATTTGGGCGGCAAGGGGCACCTGCCTTCGGCGGCGACCCTCTGGACTGGGAGGACTGGAAGTTCCAGGTGACCGCCATGGAGACGAAGCCGAGGAGAAGGTTGGCCCGAAGGTCAGAACCATACAGGAGAGAGCAGCAGGAGGAAGAGATGGACCTGATTACACTCCTCGACAGCCTGCTGATGGAAGAAGAAGAGGAGCCGAAAAGGAGCCGCATCATGGAGTTTGTGTGCTTCATGGCGAAGCGAAGAGAGGATAAGACCGTTGGAGGGCTCATCTATGAACGAGAAAGCGAGGAGGCCCGTTGCGCAAGAGCAGAGGCAAAGAGTGGGGATCATGGCAGAAGTACCAAGCCATGCGGCCCACCACTGAGGAGGACCTCACGCGGATGGGAAGAGAAGGAGGCCGGATCATTCCCACTCCCACGAAGCTGCGTGTGCCAGGAGGACCCAAGATCGAGCCGAAGTATAAGAGCCGATTGGTCACGCGTGGGGACATGGAGGCTGGAGATTTCAGAGTGGACTGCCCGACGGCTAGCGCCCTGTCAGTCCACATGTTGGTAGCTCTTGCAGCTTCACAAGGCTACACTCTCCGGTCCGGGGATATATCTGCAGCGTTCCTCCAAAGAGTGGCAATTCGCAGGATGCTGCTGATGAGAGTACCCCGAGGAGGAATTCCCACAGAGGATTTCGCAGAGAGGCGTACGGAAGCAGAGGTGCTCCCCGAGGATTCTACCTGGCCTTGCGGAGATGGTTTCGAGCAGGACTTCGAGAAGTACCTGCACGTCCTGGAGGAAAATGGCAAGGTCCTAGGGATGGCAGCCACACACGTGGATGATCTTCTTTGGTGTGTTGGCCCTGAGATGGATCGGGTCATGGAAGCGGTTCAGAGGCACTTTACCTTCGAATCAAAGCCGGTCTTGCGGGAGGAGCATCTCCGACCATAAGGACTACATAGAGAACACGACGCCGGAATGCCTGGCGAAGGTGAAGGGCATCCACATCGATGCCGAGCGCAAGAAGAGCCTCCAGGAGGCGGTCACTATGGCCGAGACATCGCAGATGCGAGCAGTGCTGGGAAGCATAGGCTATGTGGCAAGGCTGTGTCGGCCGGAGCTCTGCTACAAGTGCTCCGCAGAGCCGTCAGAGCAAGCCCAATGTCGGGGACCTGATTGAATCCAACAAGCTGTTGAGCTCAGCGCAGAAGACAAGCACCTACGGCATCAGGTTCCACAAGGGCATGGTCGACTTTGACAACTGCAAGATCCTGAGCTTGACCGACGCATCCCACGCGGAGGAAGTGGTCAACGAGAACGGCAAGCGGGGTGGATATCGCTCTCAATCAGGGAGGATGGTCTTTTTGATGTCCAACACACCATGTGAGGAGAACATGACCACCAACCTGCGCCCGCTGCAATGGGCATCAGCCACGATCCGCCGGGTATGCCGGTCAACGCTCATCGATGATGGAATCAGAGGCAGCAGGACATGTACGAGCCGTCATGTATGGTGGAGGCGCGCTGAAGCCCAAGGCTGGTTCAGTGAATGCATCCAACTCCCGGGAGTGTGTGCTGGCCGGAGCTTGGTGGACTACCTTTCCGGCACCCAGGCAGCGCCTGTCAGCGACAAAAGGCTGGCAATCGACCTCACGGCCCTTTGCCAGGACCTGTCAAGGTCCACAGGAAGCGCAGTAGGTGACGTCCAGGTGCAGGAGGAGATGCGGGAGACGTTACGAAGGCGACGCCGGGAGGTGGACGTTGCACGTACCCTCAATGAGGGGCCGGCGGTTCACACCTGCAAAGTTATAGGAGTTTGAAACCCCATGTCACATTCAGGCAATGAACCGCCTAACCGCGCTACTGGGCTCTCAGGGTAGATGGGAAAGTGCCGTTTGCTATGGAATCGGCGTGACACCGCTTTCAAACCACAGCCTGGAGTCCCAAAGGCGATGCACGAGTCCTCCAAGGGGTGACACGGCGACAAAGATCTTCACAAAATGAACCCATGAGTTAACTAGGTGGCAACGAAATACTTTTAACAATGCATAGTCACTGTAGTAAACTGTTGTGGGTATTATTGCCATAGACAAATAAAATCAACCGTGGCATACAATAGTCAACAAACCACAAATCCCATACATTAATAAAACAATAGACAACTAGACGCAGAAGCAAGGAACACTTAAGCTAACGCATGTATTCATGAATGCTCAAGCACAGTTATACTTACATATATTCTGTTTCCCTGCCAAATGACGTTTTGAAGGATTGATCCCAAAGGAGCTTTGTTCTTTCATGCCTATTGGTTGAATCACGAGCGACGTTCATGTGCTCTTGCAATTTTTGTCGTCCTTTGTGTCCTACATATGGCTCTTTTCTTTGCACTGGGTTCTTTTCTATGCAGAGTTGACACCCCCAAGAGGTCATGAGATCGAGTGTCCTTCCCCGAGCTTATCTCAACCCCTCTCCGCCTGCCTCCCGGAAACCCTTTGGTCGCCAAGTTCAACTGAGTTACATGTGGCTGAAAGATGGTGCAATTCTGCCATGGTGGAAACACGCCGTTCCCTCTACTCATCTACTGAAACCATGTGCCATCTTCTTTCACCACAACTTTTGTTATTCCATGGGAGGTGACAGATGCCAACGAACAGAGTTGCGCCGCTTGCGAAAAAACCTGCGATTTTTCTATGAGTCGTCCCAATGCAACGCCGAGCACCCGTTGCCTGGCCCGCCAGGGCGAAGTCCTCCAGATCTCCTGCGGGGAGCCCTTCAAGGCGAGTGGCATGCAGACCAGCAGAATTGCACGGGCATGGGTGAAAATTCAAGGCGCCAAATAAACCGCATGGTTTAGTCGTTGGTTCCATTTACCAGGGTTCCGTTTTGGGCACCCTTTTCTTGATCCAGACCCATGTCGTTATGTTTCGGGGAGCCGGCAAGTTGATGAGTCCTGGGCTATCAGAATTGCACCACTCCGCTTCAAACTTATTTTGGGGAGCAGGCCGGTCGTGCGAGGAAAACACAGGCAGTCAGCTTTGCCATTGCAGTTGCGTCTCCTTCGGATTCAAAAAAGAGTTCTCAGCCCTCGGAAGTCCAAGGTGCTGGGAGGCTGTGACCACAGCAAAAAGCCTCTTGAAGAGACCTGAGCCACGTGCTCAAACCGTGGTAGATGAAGGTGAGCAAGGGATAGCTTCCCAACCAGAAATGGGTGCAGCCGCCTTTTGAATTGCTCACATGGGTTTGGGTAGACCATTTTGATCATACCAGGTTTTGACTATGACTCACCTTGGAAGGGGGTGGGGCTCAAAAGATTTGTGCATGCAAGCAGCTGTCTCCAAAATCTGCGTTATGGAACGTCAGAGAGGTCTACATGTTGTATTGAAAGGCATTCACGCCATGCCGATTTCCTCGCGGTGCTCAACCCCTCTTCTCCAGCAGTTCTCGGAAGTTCTCCGGAAGCCCCGGCAAGTTGACTCCATGTTTGCCTGGACAACCTTCAAATGTGCTGGGAAGACCTTGGCAAGAGGTTTGGCCTGAGCTTCCGGGGGTTCGTAGGGTGGGTCCTTGAAAACCGTCGAGCGCCTTGGATCTGCTCGGACAAAGCGTCCCGGCATCTCAAGGCTTCCCTCAGGGCTTTTTGATGGATCTCCGCGGATCTGGTTTTATATTTGCAGCTTCACTTCTTGTGGTCCAGCGCCAAACATTTTTTTTGGTTGGTTTTCATGCTGAGGGGCATTTTCCTTTTGAAAGACACGCCCAGAGGTGGTTTGGGGCGGAGAAAACCGCACTCGAGCCCAGCTCTTGCAGGTCACCGACGCCGGCACTGGTCCTGCGCCCAGCAAAAGGGTGATGCGGGGGTGAAACGAGGTCACAATGACTTGGCGCTTCCCAGCCGTCCGGTTGCTTAGGCTTTTAGGTTTTTAGGGCTTAGTGGGGGTTCCCATTTAGCCCACTAAAACTTCAGCTTTTAGCGGGGGATCTGAGCACAGCCCAGATGAATTCCAATTCCTATGTGAGGTTTCGGACTTTTTGTCGCGACTGCAAATTTCTCGAGGTTCCGGGGCTGTTGAGGATACTTCGGGGCTGGTTCCTTTCAAAAAGCAGACATTGGCTTTCTGGAAAGAAGTATCCCTGGAAGAATGACGAAGCTACCCATAGAGTTTCGCGTTGCCGCCTTCGTTGTAGGGAGCTTTCTTTACAGTCATGTGCACGGGAATCCAACTTTGTTACAGATTTTGAGTGCGATGTTCAAGTGAACTTGAGGGGGGGGGAATTTGTGTTTTGTTGACCCCAAGGAGTTCCAATGACCGGCCCAAAAGCGCTTGGACGGGTGGGTTGATTGCATTTTCCCCCCTTGTGCTTTCCCGTAACCTAGCCCGTTTTGTTCGGCAACCAAGGGCTAGCCACCCGGTAGAAACCAATAGGAAAACAGCTGGTTACCTACTACAATCGTAACTGGGATCCACTGGGTAGGAACTGGAGCACAACGTGGTTTTCCTAAAGTGTTCTCAACAGCGATTGAGGGGGTTGCCCTTTTTGCACCAGGGGCCGTTCGTTCACCTTTTGCGACCCCCTTTAAAAGGGCACATGTAGGACACCCGGGGTGCAACATTGGGACAGTTCCTTCCATTTTGAACAACCCTTAGAAGGGGTGCTTCTCAAAACCAGCCCTGCAAATGCTGATTGGTTTCCTTTTATTTCCTTTTGATTTCCCTTGACAGCCATCCAAAAAGGGGTGCCCCCCACCCCAAGAACAACACAAACCCAACCCGCAGACCCAGAGGTTTTCTTACTGGGCACTTTTGGTTTTCTTGAACGCCATCCCAAAAGCGAGTTCCAAAATAAACCCAGTCCCGAAGCGATGCGGAAAAAGAAAGAAACCCAGGCACGCAGGTGGTCGGGGACTATGTCTTGCACGAGAAGTTGGGCCAGGGTGGCTTCGGCTGCGTCATGAAAGGTGCGCCGGCGCTCGGGCGGCGCTGAGATTGGCTTGCTTCGGCCGGATCCACCAATTTAGGATTTGATAGTCGTTTTCCCAACCTGCAAAACCCGCAACCAGTGGCTTTTTGTGGCGGAAGAAGGACATTTTCCGGATTAAGGGTTAACCTGCCAACACCCGAAAAGAGAAGCTGGAAGGAAGGAGTTCAGCCGGTGCTTTGTTCCTGTTGCAAGCTTTAGGGTCGGATCACTTGTATGATCTATTCGCCAGTCCGTTTCAAGGGCGTTCCAGGCATGGGTTTGGAGGGAGGTTGAATCCCCGCCTATCCCCAAACCACAACCTGAGGCGAAAACGGTTGGCAGAAAAGGGGCTTTCCTGGGTGGGTTGGAGGTCAGCCAGTTTGGTCGCCGAATGCTTTGGTCATAAATGGGGTTGTCAACCTCCTGAATGGACCTTATAACCCCACGCAAGCCCAATGGAGGCGGTCAACCAACATAACTTAGGTAGTGTTTGGGGGGTCAAGCAGGGTATCAAAGGGCAAACCGCACTCGCGAATTTTCCGAATCGAGCAAATCCGAGCGGCAGGCATCCACGTCGAGACGGGTGAGGCGGCCGCTGTGAAGTTCGTGCCGCGCTCGGGGCGCGTGCAATGCGTGCGGGGTACAAAGGCGACTTGAGGGGTTCTCAGAATTCGGGTGGTTTTCTGTTGGTTTTGCTTACAAACTAGCCAAAAAGGCCTCCAGATCAAGGGAAGGATCACCCAAGTATCAATTATTTCTGGAGGAATCTCCTCTTGGGGGACGCATTCCCGCAAAACCCACCATTTCTGCGTGAATGTACTCAAGGGTGATGGAGAAGCGACACAAAGTTGCAGGTTTCGGTTTAGCATTGGCCAAGATTTCTAGAGGAATATCCTCTTAGGCAATGGACCCCTTTGTAGTGGATCCCCTAAATCTCAAAGGCGTGGGCCATGCGCATCCAACCACAAACACATGCCTTGCAAAGGACGGTTTCACTTGTTCCATTGCTTGCTATGGGGCATCGACGGTAGAATTGTCCAGGGTTCCTGTTTTGGTTAAACATCACCTTTTTGCCATCCGACCCGTTTGGCATCCAACGCCCAAGGGTAGATGAAGCCACCTGGTTAAATGAGTGTCCTTCTTGGCAAGCATAGGCGCTATCCTTCCCTGGTGACTGATGCGTGGTGAAAGTGACTTAATTCCCACCAGCAACCCCCGACATCCTTCCGGAGCCCGAACATGCCGACAGCCGACGCCCTCCCAAGCCTTCAGCTGGGGACTCCTGGGAACCCGTCACACCAATGTGGGACACAAGTGCTAAACTTGAAAATCAAGGCCTCAAATTGGTACCCATCGCAACTGGCCGTTGACCCCTAACGAAATTACCCTAACCACATGTTGACTGCTGACAAAACTCACCCAATTCCTGTAAGCTTGGGACTTGCGAGCTGAGGTGCCCAAAAAGAGCTTTCGCCAGTTCTCCGACCTTCAACGGGTCTTCCAAGAAATCCAGGCGCCGGTTGGTTGCCGCGTGGAACGGGGGTAAGCTTCTCGTTTTTCCCGGCAGAAGGACGGCCTCACTAGCCATCGCAAAGCAAAAGTATCACCTTTGGGAGGTTGCTTTTGGTTGGTGTTCAAAGGGGAAGTATCAGGAGGCCTGAAAGAGGGGGCCTTTGGGTGCTGCTTGTTGTGAGGCTCGCCCTTTTCAGGTTGGTTTGGGTGTGGTATCATATGCGGCGTGATGAAGCGGACACCAATTCACGCCCACCCGTGGATGAAGACAACAGTCTCAGAAGCGCCGGCTTTGAAGCATGCGATGGTCAAGCCCTCGGGCGCGCTGCAAGATGCCATCAAGACACGTCTGCCTTGTTTTCTGGCATGGCGCGTTTTTGGGGACCCCCAAGAAAGCCTTTGAATCGATTTGACAAAATCCTGATAGGTGTCTTGATCACACTTCAACAAGCATACGGGATTTGATCATGCGCTGGAAATACTGAACCGGCATCGAATATTCTTGATTTTGTTTGGTGAGTGAGTTTTTGAAATGTGTGCACACGATGCTGGTCATGCTCGTGATGCAGGCATGATGTAGGCTGGTGATGCTGGTAATGCTGATGATGCTGACGAGCTTTCTCTTTGCATGAAAAATACCCCAGTCCTTCCAAATGAGAACATCTTCTCCTTCAAATATTAAAGGCAATTCCGAAGTGATTCTAGCACAATGCAGGGAAAACGGCTTTTGAAACGAAAGAGGGTGAAAAAGAATGGGAATCCACCCCGAGAGTGAAGAACTTTGGAGGAACATTGAGACAGGTGGGCACTCCGATGTATCCTAAGGTAGCAAGCCGCCCTTGCCAAAACCCTTCACCTCCTCTAAATCACGTGGTATTTGGGAACACATCTGAATCTCTGTGAGGCACTCCGGAATTTGCGGCACCCGCACATCATCCGCGTCCTGGACGCCCCTCGAGCCGAGATTCTGCTAAACATGGCGGGTCTTTGGTGGGACCCCGAAGTCCTCAGACGTTTTGGATCACGGAGATGCGTGCAGATTGCAAGGAGGACCTTCAGCTAGGCCCGCAGTAGCGCCCTTTTACCCTTTTTTGGGGAGGGTTCCCCTACTAAAGTAGACTACAGAAAGAAGGGTACCCTTATTCTAACCTCTCTACTGGAGAACGTAGTATACCTTTTAGAAACAAATGGCCTTTCCATGAAACCCTTCCAAAAGGTTAGCCCTTCTGATCCAGGCGGAAGAGCAAGACAGATTCATGTTGATTTCGGATTGTGCAAGCTGGAGCACCACACGAACGGCACAAAGACGTATCTTAGATCAGGGTTCCTTAAAGGACACATGTTGGCCAGATGCACAACCACCTTTTCCAGTTGTTTCAAAGGGGCTTATGTGCCAGGTGATGTGTAGGTGTATCCTTCAAGGCGCCTTTTTCAGGGCCGAAGTCCTCTCGCACAATCGTCAGGTCCTTGTCAGTTCGTCAGTTGACATTCGCTTGCTTGCGCCATGGGGTGTTCTGATTTCGGGTGTGGCCAAAAAAGTGAGCTTCCTTTCATACCAGTTTCTTCGTAGACTGTTTTACTGGGTTCAAAGTCAATCGGCAAGATCCGAAAATTTGCCGAATGCCAGATGATCGTGGTGTCCATTGGGTTAGGGATCTGCAACCCCATTTTGAACAGCCCAGTTTTTGTAGATGCACCTCTGCTCCACGTTGCTGCTGTCGCGAAACTCCCTCTGGTGATTTTGCTAGGCCGAAAACCGCTTCTGGCCACAAAATCACGTGTGCTGTGCCCAACACCCCTGTTACAACCTAGTTTAACCTTCCTTTATGGGGGTGTATCACAGCTTATATACGTACATAGACACCTTAGCAACTATGTTAGAACCGACAGTCAATGGGTTTTGGGCATTGCTCGCATGGCCCCTCTTGGGACCCTTTGGGAATAGTTAACTTTCTCCTTTACCTGTACCGTTTTTGTTAGTGGCGCAACATGAGGTGCGAGGTAAGTGTAAACGCTTCGCGCTGCCCGCCTCGGTGAAGAAGCAATGTTCATGCCATGCGTAAGCATCCGCTTGGCATTCAAGAATAGCCCAAGGGCAAGGGGCTGGGGCTAAGGGCACACAGCTACAGCCGCATCCCGGCACAAGGAATTAGAGGCTTCAGGAAGTGGGCCTTGGCTGTGGGCGCGAGGCCTGAAAGGGAAGAACCAGAGCTGATGCGTTGGCGCAGCGCAAAGGGTTGGCTTGCGCCGGTTCAGAGCAGCTGGAAGCTTGGTTGGCGGGCTGGGAAATTCACGCGCCGGTTTTCAGAGCAGCTGAAAGCACCGGGGCCCAAATCCGCAGGTTGGGGTTTGGGAAGACCCCGCGATCTGAAAGGTGGAAGGTGGTCTGACCGCTTCGGGGAGCCCTGCGATACGAGGCGACATCTCAAACATTTTTCCCCTATCATTCCCGACCTCGACTTGCTTTTGAAGTACCCATCTGTATCGCGTCGAGTGGCTCTTCGAAAGTGGAGAAATCATGTGCAGTCCCTCAGCGTCCCTTTTTCAGAAGTGTGGCCGTTTCAGTGGAACCCACCAGAAACTTGCAACCTTTTTTGAGGGGGACCACCAGAAACGCCCCCCTGTAGCGGACTCGCTTCGGTAGCATTCTGTCCTAGCCTGAGGTTGCGGATCATCCAGACTCGATTTGCTTTATAATGGAGTTCGCCGCCGGCGGTGAGTTGCCCAAGCCTCAGAAAAGACCAATCGAAGTCAAGTCGGGAGATTCAACTGGGGCAAATTCAAGGTGGACGGAGCATGCAAGATCCCGAGTCTGAACATTCTATGTTTTGGATGTTTTTGGCGTACTGTGGGTAGATGAAGGTTCATCATGAAGAACCCGCGAAGTCAGGAGTTGGCGCTTGTTTTGTCAGGAAGAAAGGGCTTCACCCCTAAAAAAGGGCCTCACTGACAACAATTGGTGGGGTTGGTAAGGGACCATGGTGCCTATATCATTGCAGGTCAAACGAGCCTAACCCAATGTAGGGCCCTATCAGCTTGGGATTTCAGGTTTCAGGATTGCAACCTTGCAGATACACAGGTGATATGCGCCTGACTCGGAGTTCAGAGCATCCAACCCCTCCCCCTCCCCTAAGCCCACCCCTCCTGGCTTCCCGAAAATAAGACAACATGACAGGACCATGAAATGGCCTTACTGGTTCTTGTCAGGAGAGTGGTTCAACACCACCGTTTTGGAAGCAGGGAGATCGGGAGATCTTTTAAGAGTGCTTTTTTTTTTTTTTTAAACGGGCGATTCCTCGATTCCTCTTGAAGCTATGCCCCAACTTCTCCCCAGAAGCTTGCTTGCTCTCAGAGGAAACATGCGTACTTGGCAATATTCCCAACCAATACCCTTTCCGAGATCAAGGCAGTCCTGTGAACCAGGTTTATCAACTCTGGTTGGACTCTTCTTTCCGATAGAATTGTAGTTCTGTTTTCATTGCCCGTTGATTCTTTGCTCATTCAACCGGGTCCAAGCATTGCACGCCCTCCACACGACGCTTCTTTTCGGGACTCTGGGCTTGCGGGTGTCAGGCGTGGCTATGTGGAGAAGCGGTCTTTCTTAGAGGAGGAGGAGGCCGTCCATGGCTTGAGTTCAGGTCCCCGTAGAGTCAAACTTGAGTCTGTCTTTGTTTTTGGGTACCATTTTGTTTAGTGGTTTTGAAGAGAAATCAAAAGAAACACCACCATTCTGAACTTCCCCTAAAAAAGTACATCCATTTACTAGTCTCTGGTTCATTTGAGGGCGTCTCACTAAATTTCCCCACCCATCTCTTGGGGGAAGACACAGTTTTGACTGCTCAAACGGGTCCGCCTCGAAGTATGGAACCGCTTTGAGAATGAGGGAAGCCCGACAGTTTGCCAAACTGTTTGTTGGTAGGTTTCTTGTCATTTTTGTCGAGGTCGGGAAAGTTTGAACTTTTCTGGCCAGAAAGCTCAGCTCTGAGTTCCTGGACCTGAAACTTTTGGTTCTTTTTGGTGGCAATGAAAGGTTTGCTTACTTTTGTTTGGCCAACCCACTCGATCGGAAGTGAGACATGAACATAACCCGTTGGGACTACTGCTTTGCACCTTGGCGCGTGGCTAGTGCCTGCTGCTCATGTGACTGAATCGCTAGGCAAGGACGTTGTTCAAGCAGATCGTGCGAGCAGCCAGTGGCTGAGTGCGGCGCAATCTGGACAAACTTGTAGGCTTGCCTCGAGATGAAACAAGTGGTCGTTTCATTCCCTTTTCATGTGGATACGTTGCCGAAATCAGAGAATCTTTGGTCTTTTTTAATGAGACAACGCGGGGTCCCTGGTCTCGACACGGGCTTCCCACAATAACGGTGATGCTTGAGCATGTTGTCCTCGGAGTTGTTCCTATTTGTGTTGTCCCACAAGGGCACCTTCCATATCCCATACTTCTCTGCTTTTATCCACTGGAAGATGCCGAGGAACGGAACATGCCACCCAGAAGCAACATCCTTTGTTCTTGGCTTCTGTTTGGCAGGGTTGGGCAACACCTGAGTTTTCAAGCAACCAGACACCCCACTTAAAGGGGGAACCAAAAGGAGGTTGCTCAAACATGTTCAAGCAGAGCCCAACCCTGTTTGGGTTCCTTGTCACCCCTGGAGAGTACATCGCCTGCAGGGTTTCTCGAAGAGTTGCCTTGGTACTGTGGATGGGCGAGCTCCACTTCGCACCAGATGGGTGGTTTCTCAACCGCTATAGGGGTGATCTCCATCCCAGGTGCGAAGCGGATTTCGTCCGCCTACAGTAGGACTTCCCTGGCCTAATCTCAAAGGCTGAGTTTTTCTGCACCCATACATGCATATGTTCTCAAATCGGGGGAACCCCCCCCCACTTCCCTTTTGGCTGCCCTTTAAGCCAACCCGACAATTGGTGTGAATCTCTAGTTGGGTCAAATGAGCCTGTAACGCTCAGCTTTGGGAATCCAGCAAGCCACACTCAAAACCTGGGTGGATGAAGGATAGCAAGGGACAATGCCAATCAAACATAGGGGCGGATATCCGCCCTTTCTGGGTAGACCTCTTTAGTACCAGGTTTTGATTGTGCCTCAGATGGCAATGGGTTCATGTACGAGCAGCTGACATTGCCACCTGCAAAACGGCAGGACATGACACGCTCCAAAACCCACATCCTGCTAGCGTGCGTGGCTCATGTGTGGTTGAACCTGTCCCTGGGCAGTCATGGCCATGTCTTTTTTAGGAAGCCTTCTGATTGTTGTCTAACGCAACCACTGCTTGGGGATACTTGGGCTTTCTAGCTCGGCTTTGCATCCATGTCTCCCCCGCAGTCCATGACTGGCGCAAGCCCTCGCGAAGGGGACATGCTTCCGCTGTTCTATTTGTCGTCTCATGATCTTCCCCAAAAGAGACGCCCATTGCGTTTAAGTCTACCTTAGGGTACCCAACAAAACGGAGCACTCTGGTCGCTAACACCAGTCCACTGGCGCCCCACACCAACTCGCATGAAGCGCCTTCAACCTGTTCGATCTCGAAATCGAGGTGCACTACATCCATAGCAAGAAGATCATCCACAGGGATCTAAAGCTGGAGAACGTCCTCCTCGATGCCCATAATAGGCGGGATGGGTGAGAACTGGGTCCAACTTATTGTAAACGCTTCGCGTTGCCCGCCTCGGCCCAGCCTAGTTTGAGGGAAGGGTCAGGAACACCGAAATCCAGTGCTGGGAAGGTCCGAATCCTACTGAAAGCTTGTGACCGCACCAGTTCGCCCGTGCTAGTTCGATGTTCGGAAGCCGTCCTGCTCGGACAGTCTCGGGCAGCTTGGCTGGTCCTTGCTTGTGTGGGTTGTTGGTTGAGCTGGGCCTGAAGCTAGTTTACGGCGGGCTGGGCAGCCGCACTGAGGGGGCTGGGCTATGGCTGGGCTGGGCCTGAGGCCAGTTTCAGACACGTCAGACAGGCCTGGCCAGCAGGCGGACTGGGCTGGGCTAGACGCTAGTTGAGCCCAGGCTGGTGAGGCCCAGTCTCGGCGCTAGATAGGCTGAGGCCTGCGAGTCTGAAACAGGGTGGCTGCTGGGCAGCCGGACTACGCTGTTGGTGCGCCTGGAACTTCGGCTGGGCGGGCTGGGCTGAGCTGTGCTTGGGCGGGTCGCTGGATGGGCAAGGCCTGTCTCATACACACTTGGGTCTGAGGCTGGGCAGCGAGTTGCTGGCTGGAGCAGGAGGTCAAGGCCTGGCCAGCCTGGGCTGAGCTGCTTGGGCAGCCGGACTGGGCGTCAGACAGGCTTAGTAGCTGGCGTATCTTGAGACCAGTCTCAGACACGTGAGACTGGTCGTTGGCCTGAGGCCAGTCTCAGACACGTTAGACAAACCTGACCTGGCACGCTGGGCTGAGCCTGCTGTCTCAGCCACGAGGCTGAAGCCATGGGTGGGTTGCTGGCTGCCGGGCAGCCGGACTACGCTGCTGGTTGCGCCTGGAACTTGGGCTGAACGGGCTGGGCTGAGCTGTGCTTGGGCGAGTTGCTGGATGGGCAAGGCCTGTTTCATACACACTTGGGCCTGAGGCTGGGTGGCGAGTTGCTGGCTGAGGCTGGGCCTGAGGCCAGTCGCAGACACGTAAACGTAAGACACGCCAGCAGGCGGGCTGAGGGACTGGGCCTGAGGCTAGTCCAGTCTCAGACTGCGCCGAAGGGGCTGGGCCTGCTGGATGAAGGCCTAGTGGCTGGCATGCTCTGAGATGCGCCGGGGCCTGGGCTGGGCAGGCTGGGCTGGGCTTGCTGGGGGTTGCTGGTTGGGCTAGGCCTGTTTCAGACAAGCTTGGGCCTGAGGCTGGGTGGGCTGGGCTGACAGGCCTGGCCAGCAGGCGGGTTGCTGGTTGGGCTGGGCCTGAGCCTAGTCTCAGACACGTCAGACAGGCAATTTTTTAGCGATTTTCGCAATCGTCAGCACATTTCATTTTCGACAAAAATGGACCCATGGAGCTGGACGCCGACGAGCCCCGAAAATTTCAAGGCCCGCCGGACAGGATTTTGGGCCAGCCGACATGGGTGGGGGGGGGGGTCGATTCTCTCTTCTGAGCGCCCTCGGCCCCAAAGCGAATTTTTGCTGACTGGTTCAACTTGAGGAGTTCTCAGAATTCCATTTGGGACCCGGTAGTTTCCTTTAAGCGGTTTTGGATATTTTACTGCAATGAACACGGTTTTCTCATACTGTCCCGCTTTCTATTTTCTTGGATCTGAGCAACAACTCTGAGAACAAGTCAGGTGAAGAGACTGAGGCTTTGTTGGGATTTGGTCCAACCCTCCCGCCCAATTTTGACACCGAGGAATCAAGAACCAACACCGCAACTAGTTCTTTGCTTTTCATTTGTTTCCTCGCTGTTTTCGGTTTCTCGTGTTATTTTTGTGTTTAGTCACGCTTTTCGTTTGTTTGTTTTGTTTGGTGTGCCTGAAAAGTGGACATTGTCCATAAGGTTTTTGGGGGGACGCCTTTGGAGTCATTTATTCAAGGGGAAAGGGAGTACAGTATATACAAACACCCTCGCCGCAAGTCATAGGCATGTTCTTCCCGCTCATGAGGGTAAGCCGCAGACGGAGGGTGCATGCCATGACAAGCCAGGATAAGCCTAGGAGGAGTCCTTACTGTAGTAAGGTCCCCCCCCCCACCACCACCCCCACAAAACAGAAGCCCAGCCCCGCCCCCGCCCCCCCTCCAAACAACAACAACAACAACAACAACAAAACAACGACAACAGCAACAACAGCAACAGCAGCAACACCCCAACAACCAACAAACGCAACACACACACACACACACAACCACCACAACAACCTCCCAAACCCCAGCCCTCAACTGCGGCACAGGTGCAAGATAGTGGATTTCGGCCTGTCCGACTACGTGTCTTCAAAGGACTTTGCAGCGGCGGCGCCATATCTGGCAACACCTTGCAAAGGGTACCGAGCCTCAAAAGCAGGACACCCTTGTTTTAGCAGAAAAGAACACTGGATCTGCTTAGGCCTTAGGTGCTGCGAGGCCCGTCATTGAACTTTCCCAAAAGGAAACCACAAGGGGGATAGACCTTGTCTTTGTTTGGCGGACCTGTTTGCAGAAGCGGCCAGCCGCTTCTGCCGCTTCCAAAAAGTGGCAAGGAGCGCACAGTCACGGACGCTGGCACGGAGGCGTACCTTGCTCCGGAGGCCCGGGGCCGGTTTGATCGTCGAGCGGCTCGTCGGGTCCACCAACGAAAAGTGGGTGGCTCGTCTTGTTTGAGGATTTGGACCCCAAAAGAGCGATTTTCGTTTTCTTTTTGGTTTCCCTGCACCAAGAAGTGGTTCCCAAAAAAGATGCACCCAAGGTGGGCTGGCTGGCTTGAGGACCCATTCTCCAAAGTACTCTGGGGGAAGTTTCCATGAGGCAACGTCCATCTGGGGCATTACTGTCTATTTCGCAGGGCCCAACCCCTAAGAACCCCGAAGGAAAACATACCCTGAGCGCCCAGTTGAAGTTGGGTTGGGTCCAACCGAAGTGGGCTGTTGCAACTTGAGGGACCCGTTCCCAGAATTGCTTTGGGGTTTCCTTTCAAACTGTTGTCCCCACAAAAAAAAATCGGGGCTCCGTTGGTTTGCCTGTAAACCACGTGAGGATGCCACTAGGTGCTTTGCAAACTGGACTGCAAGTGGTTGCCCGCGGTTGTTTTGAGGGGCCGGGGTTCTCCACTAGGGTCTGCATTGGAAAGGTGGGGCGGAAACTGCTTTTGACTTCCATACATTAACCCGTCCGACAGTATCACTTCAAGGGCGCACATGTGGTTGGACTGTTCAAAGCCGCGGCTCTTACCCGAGTTTGATTTGTGGCTCTGAGAGCGGCTCATGGGTGCCCGTCCTTTACCCACGCTCAAAGTCAGTCGTGCTTCTCCACGCAGCTCGCTCACTGCCCCCACCAAAATAGGGAGCGGATTTCCTTTCGATTTGGCCAGAAAAGGGAGCAAGCAACCTGCGACGTGTATTGGAAGACGCCTTCCCTTTTCAAAGAACGAATCATCCAACAGCGGTGGTGGTATGGGAACCTCTCTGCGATCCTCAAACTGCACCGTTGAACATGGGGACATTACTCCAACGTGGCGGGCGGCGCTTTTTTTTTCTTTTTCTCCTACTTCTTTTCTTTCTTTCGGGGGGTCCTGGACGGTGTTTGTTACCAGCCCCGGCTCGGGGCGCAACCAATCCCAAACCAGCCCACAACTTGCATAACCACGCCCTGAAGCAACCCGAAAGCCACGGCTAAGCCAGCCGCACACCTACCAAAACCGACCCGTCAACCTTAAACCCTCCCAACCGCATCCTGCATATCAGCCCTTTGCCGAGCCTAAATGAACTCCAAACCCAAGACCCGCCCTCGTTCGGACCTCAGCAAGCCCTCACCCCTAACCAGCCCCGAGCACTTCTGAATTGCCACCAAATCAAAGCCAATGGGCAGCCCTAGTCCGAGCGAGGCCAGTGGTGCTGGGGATGCGGCCGGTAAAACCCGAGCAACTCTCAACTACCACCAAATCACGCCCAATCAATACGCAGCCCTGACGCCAAGCAACCGGATATGCTGGGAATGCGGCCCACCAACCCGACCCCCAGCCAACCTCTTTCAAGGGAGGCCTTGAGCCGGGGCTAGTAACAAGCCGGGGCTAGTAAAAAAAAACCAACTCAACCAGGGGGTCCTGTCGTTGAGCTCGTTCTTGCCAGGTTTTCGATGGACGCTCTGGAGACGCGGATCCTTACAAGCTTGATGCGCCCGCCCGAGACACGAGCCAGCGCCGATTTCTGTTGAGCTCCGCCGATTTCCACGGCGAGCTCGCCGGTTCGGGGAAAAAAACGAGCGACCGCCCTTGATATTGGCTGTTTTGTTTGGGGATCCAACTCTTGTTTTGGGTAATTAAGAGATATGGATTTAGGGTAGCCAGGCCACTGGGACATGGGGCCAGAGGACCAGATCTGAGGTGTTTAGGGCCCAGGCATACTGGGAAGATTCGTGGCCAAATGTGGTCTAGTCCTTTTGACCGTTTCGCTTGGGTTTTCAGGGGGGCAGTCATGAGTCATATCATGTCTGCTAGGGCGTTGAAACCGCCATAAGGATTCCAATACGCACCCCATGACCCAAATCTGGTGAGTAGTGAAGGCACGGCATGGGGCACACCTACCAACCATCAGGAAATGAGGGTTGTGCAACCTTGGTAGTTTCGTCGCTGAGGTTTGGGCCCTGGGCGTGATTCTCTTTGCACTGTGCCATGGCAGGCGGCGTGGGAAAAGCTGGACACCAAAGTTAGACGTTGACCAACACGCTGTGAGCACTGCGGCCAACACGTGCGGTGATGAGACTCCTTTGGAATGAGTCTGGTTTCTACCGAAATGGGTTTGATCATCTAGAGGGGGTCAGGGGATGTCTTTTAGGGGTGTTTGTGGGGTTGTCTTTTTGTTTGTGTCGTGTTGGGTAATGTATTGGAGATGTTTCTTGGGATGTCTTTGAAGGTGTCGGTGGGATTTGTCAATGGGTGTGTGTCTTTCAGGCTGGCTTTTCGGGATTCGGGGTTATGCTGGGGCGCTTGCGGGGATGTCTTCGGATATGCTTTTGGACATGTCTTTGGGAATGCTTCGTGAGGGTATCTTTGGCGATGGTTGTGGGCATGTTTTGCGGACGCTTTTTTTGCTTGGATCGCTTTCAAAAGGCTCTAGGGCTTTTTCCAGTTAGATTGTGGGAACGCTTTCGGCGTTGTGTATGTCTGCATTCGAGTTTGTGGCCTCTATCAGGTGTTTGTGGTGTTTAATGAGAAACCAAAAGGGCAACCACCATTTTTTAGGGGGGAGGCTACCCCAAAACAAGCCGCACCCACTTATTAAGCCCGAAGGCCCCCGAGATGTTGCCCAACGACAGGATGGACACAGTTGCTCCGTCATGAGCAACTGATCGACGCCCATGAAGTGACACCACAGCCACGTGTGGGTGTCTATTTGGGTGTTACTTTTTGAGGGGACCCCCAAAATGGGTGGCTAGAGGGGCCGAGTTTGAGCCACCCCACTCTGTTTGGATGAAGCTGAAGTCTCTGAGGTGGGTCGTAGGGTAAGTCCTACTTGGAACTGTTTAACGAGAGTCATTCGCTGGGCGTGTGTTTTTTTGAGGGAACCCTGCTTTGGGCTTGATTGAAACGGGAAACCAAAAGGAACACCCCCATCAGTCCCAGGTCTCAGGTTTGAGACATACCCAACGAGCGTGTTCCAAGTGCTGAAGTGATCATCATCATCATCATCATCATCATCATCATCATCACCACCATCATCATCATCATCATCATCATCATCATCATCATCATCATCATCATCATCATCATCATCGTCATCGTCATCATCATCCTCCTCATCATCATCATCATCATCTTCATCATCATCATCATCATCACCATTATCTTGTCTGCAAATCCTGGATGTCACGTTCGGCCTCGCTTGCAAAGCTGCGGGGATGCAATCCTCCGCACCCTTCTGGTGTCCAGGCTCCCTTTTGGCCGCCCAGATCGCGAGACGTGTGCCAAAATTGATAGTGACGGGCCGGGAGGCCCAGATTTTTCGATTCCTTCGAACCCCGCCGGAGCGATGCAGCCTTTTTTTGTGCGTCGACCGGGTTTGATGCGAGATGGGTTTGCCTGTTTAAGGTTGGGTTTTTAGGGACACTGAAAGGGCAACCCATCCTTTGGGGAGGTTCAAATCCCGAAAAAGCCGATTGACACGTAGTGATATGCACCAAAACCGCGGAGACCCTTGTGCTGAGGCTCCAAACACAAATTTGTTTGCCGCTATGCAGACACAAAAGAAGGTAGTTTTGGTGGATCTCAGACTTGGGCTCACGGAGAAACCAGCAGGCATGAGAAGGTGATACCTCTGATAGGATCCACTATGGTAGGATTCCAAGAGCTTTCGTTGTTTTTGGGGCCTTCCCCAAACCCTTTTCTTCGGAGATCTAGTCGGTCTTTTTTGTTCGGGGGATTCCACTTTGCATCATCCTCCCCAAATCCGATGCTGCAGGGCAACTATCATGCAATTACAGGGTGTCGTCCCCGGTGGGGGGGACCTTCTTTAAGTATGGCCCAAATATGGCCTTATTCAGCCTTGCCCAGTCTTTCTTGCCAAGGGCGCTACGACCTTAGCGTTTTGAACTCATGTTTGTGGAAAAAGTGGGCTTCAGGGCCACTTTCCGTGATACCCAGACAAATTCCCTTGAAAGCGACAAACTCGTGGTTATTGTAGAATGCAAAAGGATAGAATGCTCCCCCCCAGACAAACCCTTCCCTTGAAAGGATATTCTATTATACATATATATATATATATATATTGCAGAAGTGGGTTGTTGCAACCGCGGCCATGTTTGGTGACTCACGTCACGTGAGGTTGAGCTTCAAGGAGGCGGCCTCCCCCAACTACCGCCGCATTGTTCGGCGAAAGCCCCGGACCGGAGGTCGAGCTTCGGAAAATGGGCGGCCAACCTTGCGGTGTGGTTTGGCATGGACACTCGTTTACCGTGTCTCCCTCGTTGCCGTGGCACCTCGCACGGAATTGGTCCCTCCAAGAGAGAGAGATAGGAGCTTATCTTCCAGATGCCATGTGGGGGAAGGGTGGAGGCTCATTTTGAGGATCTCACTTTGACTGACCCAGCTTGGGGGGTTCGCAACACATTGGCCGGCAAGTGGTTGCAAGGGTCCCGAGTGTTGTTGAAAGGATGCTTTTCGAGAGTCTTCAGGGGTGGGGGTTTGCATTAGGCCTTTTATGGGGTCATTTGAGGAGTCGTGCCCTCTTAGGCTAGGTTTGAAGCGGTTTTAGCGTTGTTACATCCCTTGCCCATTCTTGTCAACCTATTTTTTCTTTTCAATCGCCTGGCTTCTTGAGAAAACAGATCTGGAATGGCTGGAGGTTCTTTCCCATTCACGGGACCACGGCAAAGCGCGTTTCCTGTAGAAGTGGGAATCCTGTTTAAAAGACTTGTCGTAAGAGGTGCTGGACTTGGGTCACTTTTTTGAACCCATGTTGCCAAAACTCGGGGTGGAGCTGCTGAGTTCGCCCAGCGAGTGCCAAACGGAGGTTCTTGGGAGCACAGCCATATTTGGGTCAGGGGGACTCCCTGAGTTAAGGGATGGCCTCTGCGTAGGCGTGGTCCCCCTGTTTGACGACGGGAAAGACTGTTTCTTGGGGGGCCCCTTGACAACCATGGGAGAAACACCGACATCGGCCGAAATAGCCATCTGCCAGGAGCCCCAACAGCTCTCAAGTCCGTCTATTTTACGCCGCACTCATCTTAAAACACAGCGAGGTCGGCATTCCGGACTTGAGGATCCAAGTCTTATTTCCGGTTTTTGGAAACACGATGTGGACATTGCAGATCAAATTGTTTGCGTGACCTCAATTGTTTGCAATTTTCAGAGATCCACTGGCGGAGCAACCAGGCAGGTTTGGCCATTCACATATTCACTTCAGGGCAATTTTTACCCAACTGTCAACTTGCCGGGTTATTAGGTCTCTCTCTCTCTCTCTCTGTCTGTGTGTGTGCGTGTTCCCCTTGCAGTGAAGGATCCCTACCCAAAACGAGGCGCTCCTTCGTTTGGCTAACGCTTTCGGGTTAGTTTCATCCTTTGCTACCATAAGGCTCTTGATTGAATTCAATTCTATACCTCACGCTGCGGTTCCAAATAACTTGCTGGTGCGATAGGCAGGGAAGGAGGAATGGAACCCCCATGAGCCACCCATCCTATGGTTTCCTTTCAAGAAATCTCCAGGTTCCTTTCCTCCTTCCCTACTTGGGCATGGGTCAAAATCAAGCCACCAGGCGATCGCGTGGTTTGGTCGCTGGTTCCATGTACCAGGGTTCCATCTCGGGCACCCATTTTTTTGATGCACACCCACTTCCCGCACCAGGAAGTTACCTCCCCCTCAGCGACCCAGGGCGATGCTGACGCCCCGCCCGGAGAAGAGGGCCTTCGTGGACGAGATTACCCTCGACCCTTGGGCCGGGCGCCGAAGGCGCTCGCTCAACACCCGGGCGGTTGAAGGCGTAGTCAGGGGAGCATTTTTTTCAGGCAGAAGTGGGTGCAGCCGCCTTTTCGACTCTGTGCACGGTTCTGGGAAGAACATTTTTCCAGGTACACGTGAGGTCAACAAAAACAAGTCTGGGCGTGAGGTTTGCTTTCTGTTTTGGAGGGAGGTTTCCTTCAAGGGGTCTCTACAATATTAAGCCCCACCTGGTTAGCCCAATGCGAGCTATTGGTAAGGGTGATGTTTTGTAGGGAACCGGTTTTTCGCCCAACTCAAAGGTCTCTGGCCAAGCAAGCCGCGCGAGTTCTTTTCTGGTGGGATTTGGGGAACTCTCTTAGGAGTCGATCCTTCAAGTGGCTTCTAGGTGTCCTTGTGAGTTCCAACTTGAAAGCATCCCAAACAGGGACTACTCCCTAGTTTGAAGCACCTAGGAGATATTGATTCACTCACGACAGGTAACAACTCCTCTTAGGGGACTCAGAACTTGGTTATGACCTGGGTCACTGACCACTTACTAGTCGGTAGCGCGCCACATCGCAGCCCTGATTCTGCACCTGGTGTTGGGTGGACCACTTTAGCAGTATGTTTTGACTGCGACTCCTTTGGGTCACAACTTTTTTGACCCTCATTGGACAGAAAAGGATGTTCAGGTTGCGCTAAGGGTAAAGCTTGGACGTTTGGAACCCAACAATTGGGGTTTGGGGGGAGGGGCAAGGTCGAACTCTTCAAAGGGCACGCAGCTTTCTTGCAGGCTTCTGCCAGTTATTCAACCAAGCATCACGAGGATTCATTTCCCGCTCCAAGGGGCAACACAGATGAGCATGGTCGGAAAAGAATCCCAAAGATGCCATGCCTCAAAAGTGGGAGGATCCTCTTTTGGATGGTTTTGCAGCCGATAGAAAGGAACGCCTATTCCAAAAAAAGGGTTGACCCGATTTAGATGGGTGTGTGTTTTTGACCCTCTTTTGGCGGTGGTTTAAAGGGAAACCAAAGGACACCACCCATTTCCCAATTTCAAGTCCGGATGAATCCGAGGCAAAGAATGAGACAACATCCCCCGCAAAACCAACATATGCGGGCAGAGCCCACAGCATCATTCCCCATACATTTTTTCACGTGTGTACAAGGGGACCTTTTGGGCGACCATTTTCGTGGCATGCAAACGGTTCTGCTACTACTTTTTAAGCAACGCACTCAGTGGGATGTATGCTTAGGGAAGCCAAAAGGACGCCACCATTCCCCCCCCCCCCCACCAACCAACACCTCCCCCCCTTGAGAAAAATCCCCTCCCTTCGGTCAAATCGACGGTCCGAGGTCACAATTTACCGCTTTGCGGACTGCGATGAGGTGCCTTCTCCGGAGGCGGCTTTCCGGGAATGGAGTCAGGGGGAAGGGGCAGGCCCAGCCGTCCGGCGAGGCTGGCTGGTGCGATAAGGGAATGAACCCGTGGGTCCCCATAAAGGAAACCATAGGATGGATGGATTTTAGGTCTCATTCCCTCATTCCCTGCTGAGCGCCAGGGTAGACCATGTTGATGCTTGGTTTTGATTGTGACGAGTAACTTTTCGAGTGATTGCTGCAATCGCCGCAGAACTGACAAGGACTCAGCCACAGTGTTTGTCGGTATTGAGCGAATCCAAGTGTCAACCAGCCTTTGGACCTCCCAACGCAAACCCTGAACCCGTCGCTCTGCTTCGCCAGGAAGGTGAGGCGCTTTCACCAGGCGGGGTTCGAAGCGCGGATCTTTCTGCCGCTATGGACATTCGGCTAGGGACTTTGGGGGCGGAGCCAAAATGTTACCCCTGCTGTGGATGGACGGAACCCATTTTGATACCATGATTGAAACCATTGCTTGTTGGTGTTTGCAGGGAATCAAACCATTCCAGGGTTTCTTAGGTGGTGCGAAATGAATTGCGCCCATCCACCGTATGAAAGAGGGCGCTCATGTGTTGGGGGACATGGTCCTGACTAAAGTCGATACTAGCTGGGGCCACTGCCAAATGCAAGTTCCGGCTGATTTTTCAATAATCCGAATCCTTGCAACGCAGCTGGTTTTGGTCCTTCAAACATTGGCCCGGGGAGCGAGATAAACAACAGTACGCTGGAATCAACAAATGGGTGCATTCACCCTTTCAGAAGGGGACGTTGTGGAGGCCTGGGTTTTCCACGTATTGCGATTTATGATATTATGTTTTTATTTGTTTCAATACTTTTTCTTTCACAAAACAAACACATGTGGAACTCCTTCGGATGTTCGGAGTTTCCACCCCGTTTCTGGGGCCTGTTCTGAATAAGCAACAGACCATCGTAGTTCTTGGTGTGCCCTGTTGGGCCAAGCTGCTTTCTGATCCGGCAGGTGCGCCCGCTGCTGGGGCCCCAGACTTTTCTTTTTTCGATCCGAAGGGTCTTTTTTCAGGGGGTGTTCAACGGAAAACACACACGCACACCAAAAAACCAAAGAACTTGGGGGGCCTATCTGAAGCCGCACCCACTTGACACAGCCACTGTGCTCCTAACAACAAATCTGGGTTATCCCCATTGCAAGGTAGCGAAATCACCGATGGCGAACCCCAAACGCATTCTTGTGGTTCTCATAATTGTTGAGCAACATTTGTGTGTGATGGTGGTGTTTCTTGGGATGCCAAAGGGGCGCGAACCTTTCCCAGGATGTCCCAAATGGCTATATCAAATGGTTTCGGGGTTTGACCAATCGGGGTGCGTGCTTGCTAGGAGGTTTCTGGGACCCTAAACTGGCAACAAAGGGATTCCAAAGCTTGCACCTGTACATTTGCAGAGAATCCATTCACCCAAATCGCCAATCCGTTTGGGGTCAGCCAAAAGCCATGGCCTCGGCCGTTTCTTTCCGCCGCGACCATTCCTTCTGTGCCAAAGGCCTCGCCTTTTTTATCGTTTTGTTGTTTCTTTTTTTTTATTCTCTCTTTTTTTGTTTCTTCTTTTTTTTCTTCTTCTTTTTTTCTTCTCGGAGCCGAGGAAGGCCTTCGAGTTTTAGATGAGTATGCACCCATAGGACCATGGGAGTTGACGTATGTCTGTCCGTTGGTTTTTGACGACCAGGCCCTTTTGCCGTCAGTTTTTCTTGAGTGTTTTTTTTTTCTTCTGGAGTTCGGATCACTGGGTGCAGGGCTGGAGGTTGAAGCTCGGAGACGCCTCGAAGCCCAGACCCGTATGGGGCGATAATAATTTCCGCTGTTGAAACCATTTGGAGCAAAAACAAGTTCGGGGGGGCTGGTTCCAACCTACAACCCTGTTTTTTCCAGGTGTTTCTGTTGGACACCTGTTGGAAAGGGAGCGGGCCTAAAGAGTGGCCTTGGGTTCCCAGTATCTCAAAACTCAATCAAAAGTAGGCAAACGGCACTTTGCTTGCCATATTGCACGTAAGGGAAGAAGGAGGCGACGTTTTTTGCGTGTTATTTTTTGTCTATTATGGTTGGTCTACTTGCAATATGGTAGGGGCAGCCATGCTAGAGGGTAATTTGCGGATCTCGGTTGAAACACCAAGGAAGACCAGCGAGGCGCAGAGGACCTGCTTTTCGCTCCGGAATTCGGCTTTGCTTTTCGCTTTACGGTGGAGACGCCAGGTTTCGCCATTGTTGAGACCGCATTTCCTCTACTGGTGGATGTAGATCTCCTTTTGGGCCGCTTTGGAGTGAGTGTCCTTTGATGGGGTGCTTTTCAAAGGGGAAACGAAGGGAGCCCTCAAAGAGACCTCCTGTTTTTGGTTTTGCTCAGGCGAAGGGCTGGTTGTTGAGCCTATTTTTTTGCCACTGCGGGGGTTGGGTGGAAGCGCCCACGCCGGAAAAATATGTGGAGTTCCAAGCAAGGAGCCATGTTGGAATCTACTGGGTATCCAAAAAATACCGTCAGGCAACTCTAAAGTAGTGGCTTTGGGATTGGTGGCCTTGGGATTGGATTTCTTGGTAGAGATGACCTCCAAACCAGCGGGCTAACCGGGGAAGTTGGAGCGAGAGCACTCAAGTCGGATCGCGGCCGTGGAACTTGGAGTCTGTGAGTTGACGGAGCACACCTCCTGGATGTCCCCACGAAAGCGATAGACCCGAATGGAAGATACACCAAGGTGACCAGCGAGTTTTTTGTGACCAAATGGAGCTTTGGGATTGGCTTTTCCTTTAAACCTACACATGGTGATCAGCCCCTTCAGCTGGCTTGGAGCAACCCAGGGTGGAGTTGGGAAGTGCCCGCCGATCCGCGCGGCGCGCGCATTTCTATGCTTGGATTACATATTTTGCCCAGACATTTCCGCAAACATCACTGGGCAATGTTAAAATGCATTTCCTTTGCCGGGCAGATACCCCCCCCACCGTTTTGTTGGAATTTAAAGGGAAACAAAAGGACCGTGTCACTTTGGCGGACCATGGACTACCCTCCCACCAATCAACATGGCACTTGACAGGTGGGTCCTGGTTTGGAGCATGTTCGTTTTAAAGGGACCCCCTGTGAGGGTTCCATGTGAATTGGTGGGAGGACATCCCATCTGTGACTCCACCTTCGCGTTCCGCAGGAATCGGAGGCGGCCTCCCGCCATGCTTCGCTGCACCCGCCTTAGCCGGGCTGGGCGCGGTTTAAGCGCTGCTCGAAGGTGGGGACTTTTGAAGGTTTGTTCAAGAAGGGCCCAGAGCTGGGCACGGTTGCATTTTTAAGGGTTCTCCATATTGCTTGGGGAGACCGGTGTTTTTTTCAATTGGCAACTAGAGGATCATGTTGAGGATGCCACTTCAGGCCCAGTCTTATAGGGAAGGCCCTCAAAGAAGAAACTGACCTTCCCAGTCTCTCCGGTGCCTTCCGGTTGCGGGGGAATCCATCCTTCTTTTGCTGGGTGCCTGTCCCCGTTTGGGAGACACTCCCCGCATGGTTTGGGAAGGGGCCTCCTGTATGACGGGCCCCAATCCATCGATCGGATTCTCAGGGGTCAAAAGTTTTGACCACCAGCTGCATGGGTGTTTACCCACATGAAGTCAATCCCCCCCCCCTCTTGGGCAAGGTACAGGAGTGGGTCAAAGTGAGCATGCTTGCAAAAGGAGGTAGACTCACTTTTTCGCGTTGAATGCAGGCTTCGTAACAGTGCATCGCTGCAGCAAATCGAAGAGGCTGCAGAGAGGAAGAGGGAAAGAGACAAACGCCTTTAGCACTGCTGGCTGATGTTCGTGGCAATCCAGTGGCACGGACTAAGACAACAGCTCCAGGAAATGCTACAAGGCCAAAACCCCTAGGTCTGGTTGGTAAGAAGCTGTCTACAGAATTGTCTTGGCGGGTTTTTTGCATCGAAGCTCAACAAAAACAAAGCGGGTATGTGCCCCTTGTAGAACGGCTACATCGTGTTTGTACATGGGTATGGGTCAAAATTCAACCATTAGGAGTTTTTAGTCCATGTTTCGGCTCCATTTTGGGTACCAATTTTTAGCCGCAGATGTATCAGGCCCCTGGCGGTAGATGGCTTCCGAGCTTCTCTCTGAAACCGAAGCCGAGGGAGCCAGATGTGGAGCGAGCTCATACAGCCAGGCGCATTCCAAGTCTCGATGCCCGTTGGTGTGGAAACTGCCTTTCCAGCTTCGTGGAGTGGAAAATTTCGGGTTTTGAGAAGGAAAGTCACCTTCCAGAACCCTCTTGCAGGGTTTCCTCCATTTCCCTTTTTGGAAGCTTCAAACGTGGCAGTTTCAATGGAAGCCACCAGTAGATTGCGACTTTTGATTTGGGGAACACCTGTGAGCCCTGTCTTGTCCGCTGCGGGGAGGGAACGCGAGCATGCCACGGCTGTGGTTTGTTTTGGTCGATGACTTGCAGTTCGGTCCATCAAGACGTCTTGGTGTCAAGACCTAGGAAGGGAACCCCAAACAAAAACCATCTGGACCCACTTACCCGGAGAAGTGGGAAGCTGCTTTAAGGGGCAGGGTACTTTGCAAGTGGTAAGCCCGGTTGTCACCCAGTTGCTTGACCAACTCCTGCAAAAAGGTTACCACCCAGCCCCATTAAGTACTCATATTAGGGCAATATCCCATTTTGAAGAGAGTTTATCGTGAATGTCGGGTTCCGGAACTCATGCAAGTTTCAATTACACCCAGTTTGTATCCCCAGCAACCTTTGCACCCAGAGCCACTCTGCATTTGGGCACCGCTCCCTGCGGAAGAATCCATCGGAGAAGCGCACCAAGTTGTTCATGTCCAGTAGTGAGCTGTATATTCTGACCGGTCAGCTGCTGACCTGGTGTGCTATGCAGATTCCTTGCCCTAGATTAAAGGCCCCCATCTAGTTCTTGGCATTGCGGGAGGGTCAAAATAAATATCACTCAATGCAAACACGTTGAGGGGTCTCAAAATTGCATTTGGTGTTTTGCGTTGAACCACCATTTAGAGGGACATCTTGAGGTAGCACAGGAGGCCAAGTACCTACTTAGGGTTTAATTCTATACTGATGGCTAAGTTTAGCTCCAAAGTACCACCGCCATGCAGCTCTCCTTGGCTTGCAGTGACTCTGCGAAATCGGCACGCGTACTCCAAATTGGCCGAAATCGGCCCCCGCAGAAACTTCATGGAACCCAAGACCAGGGTCCCCCGAAGGGGGGTTCCTCTAACCAGCCCTCCTTACGAGGCTGCCAAATGGCCCCTGCAGGTTGCTCAAAGCACGTGATAGCTGTTGGGGGTCCGGAGAGAGATATGTTTTGAAGGTTTTGTGGGGGTCCTTCCATTCATCTGAGGCAGTGCTAGTCTCCAAAGAACTTTCTATGACATCCTGGGATGACACCCTAGGGAATCACCCGAATCCGGTTGCTATTTCCAGATAAGACCTGGTTCGTTTGGACGATTTCGGCACTTCCCTCTAGGGCGTACAATGTGTTGTGAACGCAGATGGCACTTTTCCCTTTACATCGGCAAAAGTGGATGACCAAGCCAACATCAGGGAATTGCGCCCCTCTTTTCGCCAGGGCTGATGCCCTGGACACGCATTCGCCAAGCAGGCACGCGGTGGACGGGATTGCCCTCCTTTTGTGCTTCTTTTTGTGGGGGAAGCTGAATTCTTTGGTTGGTTCCTCCAAGTTTGAGACACACCCAGTGAATTCCACCCGAAGAACAACGTCGCCGGGGCGAAATGTGGATGAAGTTTAAGGCTTCTTTCTCTTGTGTTTTGGAGCTTATTAGGGCTCGTTCCTAACCCTCACGAGGATACCTCCAGGACTAGAGGACTTTGTTTTGTCCGGACCCCAATTGTCGACCCCGAAGCCTCTGGAGCTCTTGGTCCAACTACAGATGAGTCGACCGCCGCTTTCTGAATTGGACATTGAGGCCGGAAGTCGTCTGTCTCGCGTGTGCCGGAAGTATCCGGGAGCACCAGACAAACCTCCTGACTACCGCCATGGATGAAAGCAAAGTTTGAACTCCTCCAGCGGATTTCCCGCGGGGGAAAGGGGGCAAGCGCATGTTGTTTTGGGCTTTTTGATGGAGCCTAGGGATACTGTCCCAAGCACTTGGGTCAATATTGCATTTATGCTCATTTTAGAATGCTGCTGACCCCAATTCCCCCCTGCAACTAGAGTGACGAAATGAGCTAAGGCCCTTCAACCCCACCTCACAAATCCCCAGCGGTCGACCCAGCGACCCGGCGATCGTCGACCTAGGCGAGAGCGCCGGCCCCGCACAGTTTCGGACAGCCCTGCGAGCGGTCCTGCAGTCGTGGAGCTCAGAGCGGACAAAAACCGCAAGCCAATCGGTGTTGTTTTTTAAGGACCCCCCCCCCCAAAATGGTGGTTTCTTTTGGTTTCCATTTAACCATGGTTTGGGCTTTGGGAGTTGTAGTTCGCCCAGATTGGGCGAAATCCGCGCTCGCTTGCGGCATCCGATCTTTTGAGCGCCTGTTTGGTATCCGTCTGTTTGGTATCCCCCTCTGCTCCTTTACGCAGTCGGCGAGCTTGGAGGTGTGTTCGGTGTCTGAGTGCGTGTGTGTGTGTGTGTGGGTAGGATGAGTTTTATGAGTGTGCGAATGAAGTTGCCAGCCATACGCTCTCTTAGAATTATAGATCTCAGAGTCGGGCAAGTAGGGTGTTTGGTTGGCGAATCAGTATAGCTGCCCGGATTTATGTTTTATCCGCCTAAACAAATAATAGCTGTTCCTTTTTCATGGGGAGTTCCCTCAACAACAAATGGATGATGGACACAAATCACTTAAATGATGTCCACTCAATGCCCTGCCCATGTCAACCGCGAATTAGAGCCGGAAGGTGCAGCCATTCTTAGCCCCCTCACTGACTCAGGCCACACCACGTACTGCCTGGCGTGAACGCAAAGCAGGCCCAGTTGGGCGGTGCTACGACTGCCGAATTCCAGAAAATGCATACGTAGTGCGGATAGACATTGTAGATCTAGGTGTATACGCAGTTATACGTATTTGTTCAATGCATCCATCCAAGCAAGCAAGCAAGCCAGCCAGCCAGCCAGCCAGCCAACCATCCATCCATCCAGCCAGCCAGCCAGCGAGCCAGCCAGCCACCGATGTATCCATCCAGGCAGCAATCCCATTTACCCAGCCATTCATCCATTGTAATTTGCGCAGATCTCTTTTTCGCAAAGGATGGCTCCTGTGCCAAAGACGGTCGTGAAGAGGGGGGCTGTTGCAAATGTGGTAGATGTGTGCTTCGCCTTTGCTGTCTAATTTAAAACGGTTTAAGCGGCATATACTAGACCAAGCAGCTTCAAGGGTAGTTCTTGAGAAGTGTTATTGCATTCATGTTATATGCATGTACCACGTGGGTTATATATATATATGTACATATATGTATACAAACATATATGTATACAAACATACATACATACATTACATTACATTACATTACATTACATTACATTACATTACATTACATTACATTACATTACATTACATTACATTGCATTGCATTGCATTGCATTGCATCACATCACATCACATCACATCACATCACATTACATTACATTACATTACATTACATTACATTACATTACATTACATTACATTACATACATACATACATTACATACACACATTACATACATTACATACATTACATACATTACATACACATACATTACATACATTACATACATTACATACATACATTACATTACATTACAGTACATTACATTACAGTACATTACATTACATCACATCACATCACATCACATAAAATTACACTACATTACATTACATTACATTACATTGCATTGCATTGCATTACATTACATTACATTACATTACATACATACAGACAGACAGACAGACAGACAGACACAGACACACAGACACACAGACAGACAGACAGACAGACAGACAGACAGACAGACAGACAGACAGACAGACAGACAGACAGACAGACAGACAGACAGACAGACAGACAGACAGACAGACAGACAGACAGACAGACAGACAGACAGACAGACAGACAGACAGACAGACAGACAGACAGACAGACAGACAGACAGACAGACAGACAGACAGACAGACAGACAGACAGACAGACAGACAGACAGACAGACAGACAGACAGACAGACGTATGTACGTACGTACGTACGTACGTACGTACCATATATAAGTATATGTATACATATACACATATAAGTATGCATGTATATGTATATATATATATATATATGTACACGCCTTTGCGTCCTCGTGTCGCGCCAGGCACCGGCCTGGGCCGCGCGGGCATGGCGGTGATCCGCGGGAGCCATGCGGACGCGAAAAAAAAGATTTTTGCCCGGGGGGGGGGGGGTCGTCGGCGTTAGTTGGAGGATTTGCGGGTGGGATGGGCCAAGACACCTAGTGGTCGGAGCCTCAATACGCCATCATGACTGGGGTCCCTCGATTTCCCTTTTTCTGGGACCTCCAAAAGTGCGCGATTTTGTTGGACACCCACTAGTCATCTGCAACTTTTGAAAGGAAATGACCTGGTGTCCAAGACACCGCCATACCTTTTGGCATGACACCCTCAAGGAATTTTCATTGGAAGCTTGGGGTATGCTCAGAAGGTATGGTGGGTTCTTGGATGGTAAGGATCTTCAATCATTATGATTCCTGTGGGAGCCATAGGAGTGTTTGTTGTTTGCTCTATATTTAGAGGGGGCGGACAAATACACAATCAATGCCCTTCCTTTTGGTTTCCTGGCACGCCTATTTCGTCCATCCACAGTATGACCGTGTTGCTCATTCGCCTTTGACCAAACAACATTGCCACTGAAGGAAGTACCACTGAAACCAGATGAGTTATAAAGTTCTCCACCCCTAAGCATGAAGGGTTTCCTATCAGTTTGCCTGATTTTTCTCCGGGGAACTCTGTTTCACCTTGTCCTCTCAATTAGTTCCACGGGGAACAAAGGCCTTGCCTTTGTTGGCTGGTTGATTTTGAAGTTTGTTTGTCTCAAAATAGGGGTGCCCCTAAAATTGTGCTTTTCCCTTTGGCTTCCGTTTAAAAAGAAGCCAACCAGGGGGACTCAAGAAAGACCCACGCATCAATGCCCTTTCACAAGACTCATGGAAGACCAGGGGCTCCTTCAAAGAGAATGATCACCTTCCAACCCCCCCTGGCCACTTCCACTGGAAGGAGGGAACCATTGGCGGTCCCTCCAAGCTTCACACAAGCTCCCAGCAAAGACTTTAACAAGGCAAGTGTGGTTTGGGGATTCGAAGAACAGATCCAATGTTAACTTTGAATCTAGAAGAAAGGATCATATGGATGTGTCTTTTTGAGGGGACCCATTTGTTGATGGTTTTAAAAGGACACTAAAAGGACACGCACCCTAACAAACGTACCCATACTTATCAGAGTCTCACGACTTCTCACGAATTCTGGAGGCTTTGCGACCCTAATTCGTAGGATCTCACCCCTCTTGTTTGGGTCTTTGGAGGAAACAGGCTCCTACGGGAATCCGTTTTGAGGAGACACTCCCCAATGAACTTCTGAGCATTACAGAAGGAGCCGATTCCCAAAAGGGGGATCGCAAACGGAGGTGCTGGCAGCCCATCGGTTGCCCAACCAGCACATTTTTTGGGGAGTCATCTCCTTTGGGGAGGGTCAACGTCAAGCGCATTTCGGTTTGCATGCATGAAGATAGGGTTTTGGACCGCGAAATGGTGGTTTTCCTAGGTATCCCTTTAAACGAAGCTGAAAAAGGGTGAAAGCCACACACGCACACCCAAATGGAGCTCTCTATATTTGGCATGGTCATATCACCAGATCGTTTGCTTGGTACCCTCTAGGGATGTTCGGCAACCATGGTAGGAGTTCCTGTTCAGGGGACACATGACGATGAATTTGCGTTTTGGCAGGGAGATGATTTTGGGGACATGTTGGAACCCTGTAGAAAGGGGCGCGCTGAAAATGGGTGGGCTTCCTTTTGGACAGGGTCAGGTTCTTATTTTCCCCATAGGTTTCGTCTGGAATTTTGGGCAGAAGGTGAGTCACCCATTGGAAGAACCAAGTCGACCAACTCCGGCCACGCTTGTCCCTGGGACTACCTGATTGCCCCCGCCAAAAAATATTCAAGAAGAAGCAGAAGAAGAAGCAGGAAGAAGAAGAATAAGAAGAGGAAGAAGAAGTGGGACGTTGATTCCATTCTTGGTATGCCAGACTCACCCAAGCAGCAGGGCCCCCTTGAAGGATACATTGGGCCACTTGAAAGCCCCTTTATCCGCTGATTTGGAGGATCTTGCGAAGCAGGTGATGTCAACCCCTGCCCGAAAAAGGCGGTATTTACGGCAAACTAGGTCTCTGGCCAGCCTCCATCTTGGACCTGGGTTCCAGTCGGCCACTCGCGACTCGCGACTCGCGGCTCGAGTCGCGGTCGAGTCCCAAGTGTTCTTGGGCCGGCGCGCTCCGTTCGCCCCCTGGGCGGCAGTTGGCCCAAACCCGCTGAGCAACAAAACGATTCGGGATCAAGGTTTGGGTCAGTCCCCTTGCCGGAAATTGGTGCGGACATCCACTCGTTTCCTTACATCTGCCAGGATTTGAATGGGACTCCACGGTTGATATACTGCCTAACTGGTGCGAGCTGTATTATGTCCATCCACAAGCCGAAATGTGAGGGGTTGTTGCCCATTGAGCAAAGGCCGCAGGGGGCCCTTGGACCTATGAGTTCGGAGCTAGGAAAACTTGGGGATCCCAGCTTCATTCTGCAATGGGAAGGTTTCAGGATTTGTTTCTAATCGACTCCCCCTGCAAAGTGATAAAGTGGTCATGAGACGGCCCAATAGTTTTTTGGTATCGCAGAAAGGGCGAAAGGGCGATCAAGCATGACGGGTCCCTGCGAAGCTGCCGGGTACTCTGAGGCAATGCAGCTTCCAATCTTGCTCGGTGCTGCTGGCCGCTTTGGGAGGTTTGGAAAGCCCCCAGATGCCACCATTTGCGATGGGTTTTTAGGTTGCCACTGTGCTACCAAGGGAATTCAGGGACGTGCTGGAAACTAGCCATAGTTTGGTATCTCAGATTTCGGGTGATTTCCCACAGCCAGCCATGACCATCTCACATGGTCGATTCCGTACAAGCGAGGGAAGGGAAGCCATAGATCTTTCTCAACATAAACCCTTTTTCTCTGGCTTAGGCAAGCCAAAAGGAAACCAACTGGAGGGGAACCATGGATGGCTTGTTTGCTTGGATGTATAGAGTCAACTGCGGGCACTTGCTGCTTTCCTCGCTTTAGAAATGGGGACCCCCAAATGGGGGGGGGGGCTTTGTGATTTTTGACCCTTGGAAACTGACTGTTTCCCTAAGTGAAAGAAGTTGAAGACCAACCCCGGTTTTAACAATCCCTGTCCCGCTAGGCATAAGTATGTCCACCTTGATATGTCCACCTTGCTTGACTCAGCAAGCACAGAGTCATCGTGTCCAGCTCCAAGTCATTGTCTTTGTTTCAAGTATGTACCGGCTTCTTCTTTCTGTTCTTGCGGAAGACTCCCTTCGAGAGCACGAATAGTTTTTTCCAGCCCAACAAATTGTATATATATATATATATATGTAGGAGTCATTCCATTTCTCATTCCCTTCTGAGCACCAGGAAGATAAAACACATCTTTCATTCGAGGACTTGTGCACCCCGCTGCGAATAGCCCCCTTTTTTGAGCTTGCCGCCCGCGCTGCCAGGTCTATTGTACCACGTCTCTGGTCTCAAGTTTGGGCAACCAGCGCCTTGGAGAGGTCTCAAAGGGAGGTCACCTTGGGAGGGAAGTAGATCCGGCGGGGAAGGTAGGTGGGAGCCCCAGCAGTCCGGATGAGCTTAGTGCTTTTAGAGGTTTTCGGTTGGTGAAAGGTGGGGGCTTTCCATTGAACCGACAAGTTGGACTTTGGGCAGGTTAAATCTTTCGGACAGAGTCGATGGCACATTTTTCCGAGGATCAATTGGGAACATGGTGCCATCTACTTCACCCCAGCTGAAATTGACCGGGGCGGGCCTCATCTTCCTGGACCTTCATTTCACTTGAGCATGGGAACCTGTATCCCCCCGCCCGTAAAAGATCGGAGCAGAAAAAGGGGTCGTTGCAGCAACCAATGTCGTTCATTTCGAGGACCCCGCAAATCCCCCGGGACTTAAGGGTTGAATTTATAGAGGGGTTCCTCAGATTCGTACGGTCCTCCGGATCAAGCCGAAGCAAACGTGAACATTTGTCCCCATGTTTCGCATGAGTTGTTCAACAGATGTAAACATGATCGCCTTTTTGACCCGAGGCAGACGCGGGCACTATTATACATGTACAGAATATATATATATATATATATATATATATATATATAACATAGATTAATATAATAAGCCTTGCCGGGATTGGGGTGTGGGCCGGATTCTTGACCGCCATGAGAAAGCGATCCTCGGCCTGAAAACCCAGAGGGCCCTCAGGCCAAACAGGTTGGGGTCAAGACAACAACAGTTCCCATAGGCGGCTTCTTTAGGCTAGTTTGGTTAGAAGTAGATGGCACTGGTTTGGATGGGTTCTATTCCATTTACTGGGTCCATCTTGTTTTTGCAAAAGGTCACCTACTGTGGATGGACGAAATCCTGCACCACTTTGAAACATAGAAAACCATTGTTGTGTGGGGAATCATAATTCCAGGGTGTTTTAGATGGTGCAGGATTTCGTCCATCCACAGTATGACAGTCTACCTTGGGGTTTCCAGCAGTTCGGTCCGCCAATCCGCCGGCCTCGCTGAGGGATGCAAGGACCGAATGCGAGGAGGTTTCACGGACAACATCATGAGGCACCACTGTGGTGGTTTGGCGGCAATGTGTGTGTTTTTTGTTTTTCTCCCCCAAGGTCGCTTTTGGGATTGGTTGAAAGGGACACCAAAAAGAACACGATCCAAAGGATGGGGTACCTCGATGTTTTTTGGCACATACCCATACAAACAGTTTGCAGACCCTCCAAGAGACTCCCATGTTTTTCAATTCACCTTACGCTTGTTTCCCCTGATTGTCTTCCACTGCCCCTTTTCGCCCTTGGTCTTTTTCCAGCACTCGTTTTTTGTTGTTTTTTTGCCAAAGCTCGAGGTCACGAACTCAGCAGCTATGACAACGACCTCACCAGCTCTGCGGTGGCCTGTGAGGCACGTGCCATATGAGAAGCGGAGGGTCTCCTACGGCTGTTTGTCATTTGAGGGGTGGCGACCAATGTGAAGCTTCCTTCTTGATCTCAAAGTTTTCTTGGGTGAATTTGATGAGAATTTGCCCCGATGGGTGGTGTAGCCCCTATAAATCGGCCGGGTTCTTCGTGGATCTACGCCACCCCTCCTTCCAGGTATTGCCCAACAAACCTTCACCCGTAAGGATCCACAAGGCTCCTTGGTGGGGTTCAACTTTGGACTGGACATTGTTGCCCTTGACCGTTCATGAACCCAGATAAGATTTGCCTGAATCCTAGGTCAAAGTGGTAGAAGGTTGAGGTGGTTTCTAAGTGCCTTGGTCAATTTTTTAGATATCAATCATATATGGATTGGCCCACATTGTCTTCTTTCTTTCACAGCCTTTGGGACCTTTCGCGCCCTTACGAGACCGCCGGATTGACAGACGCGGTCTCGCCCGGCCGTGGCCCCCACAAGGAGCTTTGACCATGGCACACTTGTGGGCGTGTCTTTTTGATTGAAGCTCGGCGGCCGTTTTTCACAGTCACCAACCTCTTGGATTATGAAGAAGCAACACATGCAGCATTTTTTCTGTCAGGGTCTCCTTCTGAGTATGGCCTTTGGCTTTCTTGCCAACAGAGCCTTGCACCAGCAGGGCTTTTCCAGAATTAGAATGGATTTGTGTGCCCCGTACTTTTGTAAAGCTGAATTGAGCTGTCACAAGAAAGCACGTTCGTAATGATTCAGCGCCTTATATTATGCCCAGTGATTCCATGTACCCACGCAGCACCAGGCAACCAAGGAGGTTACCATCCGTGACTATAAGGAACATGGAACATGACGAAGGCTTGCCTGGAATATAAGGCGCCAAGTAAAATCAAACATTATTCTCTTAGGATCATGACTCAATTTGGGTTTAAAGTGCTCCAACCCCCCCCCCCCTATTTAAAATGGGATTTGGGATCTGATCGGAGCCATCGGCACACGGCCAGGATGCATCGACTCCGTTCTTGCGGCGGGCGCTCGCCAACAAGATGCTGCCCAGCAGAGTAAGCTCAAGCGACCCCGAAAAGGATACAAAGCAACACGCCAATGGGTATGTGTAAAAATAGGGGCGATCCCCAGAATGACTGGCTTCCTCGTGGTTTCCCTTCAAACCAACCCCAGAAAAGGCGGGATAGGCATCAAAAATAAACTTATTAGGGATAAACAAAACTTATTAGGGATCAATAAACAACTTATTAGGGATCAATAAAAAACTTATTAGGGATCAACAAAAAGCTTTATGGGGAGAAGGAAGGAAGGCAGGCAGGCAGGCAGGCAGGCAGGCAGGCAGGCAGGAAGGAAGGAAGGAAGGAAGGAAGGAAGGAAGGAAGGAAGGAACGAAGGAACGAAGGAACGAGGGAAGGAAAAGAAGGAATTCCAGGAAAGGAAGAAAGGAACCAAAGAAGCAAGGAAGTAAAGGAAGGTAATCTGAAACATTTTGAGAGGTTCTCAATATCGGTTTCGGGAATCGGCGGATGCACCCTTTGTTGAATCATCACTTCTTCGATCATCATGGGGAGGCTGCTGCCTCGCCCAACCCCCCCGCTGATTTCTAGAATGTTTACAAAGATTAACGTGCCCTTTGTTGAATCATGACTTCTTCCATCATCATGGGGGGGGGTTGCCATGGGGGGGCTGCCCCCCCCTACCCCCGCTGATTTCTAGAATGTGTATAAAAGACTAACGCGACCCTTTGTTGAATCATCACTTCTTCCATCATCATGGGGGGGGCTGCCGCCCCCCCAACCCCCGGCTAGTTTTTAGAGTGTTTGCAGAGATTAACACACCCTTTTTGAATCGTCACATCTTCGATCTTTCTTTCTTTCTTTCTTTCTTTCTTTCTTTCTTTCTTTCTTTCTTTCTTTCTTTCTTTCTTTCTTTCTTTCTTTCTTTCTCTCTCTTTCTGTCGTACCTTGGAAAGTGCTGCAACTGCCGCAAAATCTGTGCCGTACCTTGCGAAAGCGCTGCGCCTGCCGCGAAATCTGTACTGACATTGCGAAAGCACTGCGCCTGCCACGAAATCTGTACCGTACCTTGCGTACGTGCTGCGCCTGCCATGAAATGTGTGCCGTACATTTCGAAAGCGCTGCGCCTGCCACGAAATCTGCACTGCACATTGCGAAAGCGCTGCGCCTGCCACGAAATCTGTACCGTACATTGCGAAAGCGCTGTGCCTGCCACGAAATCTGTACCTGACCTTGCGAAAGCGCTGCGCCTCTCACGAAATCTGCACCTGACCTTGCGAAAGCGCTGCGCCTGCTGCGAAATCTGCACCTGACCTTGCGCACCTGCCACGATATGAAGCAGTTTTTTTATCGATTCCTGACAAGTTTTTTCTTGATCCGTTGACGTGTCATTTTTAGTAGTAAGCCTAAGATAATAAGTTTCTTTTTTGACCCCTAATATTTGCTTGATCTTCAGGAATAAGTTGTTGATGCCTAAAAAGCTTTTTTTTAATCCCTCACCCAGAAAAGGCACCCGTGTAAAGTCACCACACGAACACAGATCGGCTGTGGCGCGCCGGCTTTTTGGTTTATCCGTTTGTCAGTGGACATGAGCAATCGCAACCCAATTCCCAATCACCCATATAAAGCAGGTAACCAGAGACCAGGATTTCTCTTTAGTGTCCCGAAAGGATAGTTTCCCTGAAAAAGCGCTGGGAACTGGCAATATTCGCTGTCGTTTTTTGTACTACAGTGGCTGATGTTGGATGCACTCACCAGGACACCATGAATGCTGACCGCTCGCATGCAGTATGTAGACCAATTTCCCTCGAATGTATGAGATTGGGGAAGGTCCCCTTTGCGAACCAAAGCGGCGGGCCTGGACTTGCATCTCTGTTTGTCTCACCTTGCTTGGCCGAGGGTTCGAAGCCTTAAGCTATGTTCTGAACCCAGAAGAAGTGCTAAATAGGGTGTCAAAGGTAGGTTGGGGGTTGGAAAACAGGATCCCTTTTTTGCAGGCGCACATGGGATTCCTCGTGGTTCAGTAAGCATTTACCATGGGAACACACCCCTCTGCTTTTCATGTAAATCCCCTCCTTCAACGCCTAGAAACCCCAAAAATCGCGGGTTCTGGTGCCATCTGGAGCCAACCCATTAATAAACCTCTGGTTGATTCATAGATGTGCCCAACTTAAATGGAAATCCTTGTCTTTTCACTCAATCTATCAGAGTAATTGACCTGCGGTCGGATCAACTGACACGTCACTTCACACCTCATGCCCGAAGTTGGCTGAATGCGAGCCGGCTGAACCCCTGGTTTTCTGAGTTGACCCTCCGAAAAAACAAGCACGCAGGTGTCTGTTAGAGGAAATTATTTTCCATCATATTTGTTTTTGGCAGGATAGCCTCGCGCATAGATTTTATGAGAAATCAACCAGCTTTGGGCTCCACAGGCAAAAACCGCGAGTTTGACCGTTGCCATATGGGAGACACAGAAAAGCCTTTGAACCATCGATCTACAATATTTACTGCGAGCTCAACGGGTACAGCGAGCTCACTATGTAGGTTGAGCTTGACAGTCGGACTTTGTGAATTGACTTAGGAGGTGTACTAGTAGCACAAGTCGGAGCTCCGGTGATCTTGAAACACGACTACTCTTAATTTCCTGCTATTTATTACGTGAGACTAAAGCTCTTCTGATTTAAGGCTGCCTTCTTTGGCAACTGATTTCTGCGGAAGACGTGGTCAGGTGGAGAGTTTGGCTGGGGCAGCACATCTGTTGCAAGATAACGTAGGTGTCCTAAGGTAAGCTCAATGAGAACAGACTTTTTCATGTGGACCACAAGGGCCAACAACTTCTGCTCGGGGATCCATTTCTTGGTTCAGGTTCTGGAATTATTGTAGAATTTGACAACACCGGAAGATGAGGTGTTTTGGTACACCAGCACGACCATTGTGATTTGGTTGTCTTCTGTGTGACTGTGACTGATGTTGACAGAAATTCGGATCTCACAAAATTACCGGTAGGTTCTTGTTAGTTTGGGGAGGAACGTTTTGGGCCCGACCGACATTGTCCCCATAAAACCGCGGGCCGCGGGCAGGGCCCAGCCTTCAGGTTTTCCCACTGCGGTGCCTGGTGCATCTGGGACTTTGACCACCCGGACAAGATCGAGTTCCAGTACGACAAGAACAAGAAATGCTACGAAGAGACTAGATGCTCGGCAGGCACGAGCGAAGTCTCCGGGCCCCTGAAATAGAAACCCTCCAGCCATCCCCGGAATGGGCAACATGCCAACTGCGGTTTATCGCACAGGACTTGACGACACTTTACATTTGTGGTCTGATGGTTTACGGAGTGCGAGAAGAGGGCAATGACTGGCAGATTTTTCATGTGTCCTCTTGGCGGTTCTCAGCGATACCCTCAGACTTTTTTTTCTAGTAGACTTTCAGGGTTTAGATGGATTTGCGTCATATCCCGCCAAAAGCTCAACTTTTGATATCAACAAACCACGAAGTCTTAGAAGGTTGAGCATAAGATGGGCCTGTCCCAAATTGGGCCTGGTGAGCCAAAGGGAAGTCAACCCATGCCAGAAGTGCGCACACTGCTCATTTAATTAACAAAAAAAAAACAGACCGAGCTCACTTGGGGCTAAACCCTGGAGTCTTCATGGGCTGGGGATGCCTTATATTGTTTTATATCGCGGATGCACCTTATATTAGGGATGTGCCTTATTTCGGTGTTTGGAAATACTCTAGATCTAGAACTTACCGACTCGCAGCCAAGGGCTAAGTCCGTGGCTTTTTTGTTGACAAAGCGACACCGACAGTGGATTTGGCCCATGTTTCTCATTTTTGCGGACCCCTATTTCGCGCCCAAACAGGAGCCACACTTGCATATAGAGCCAAATTTATGCGCGCCAAGGAGGGGGCCACTGTGCGAAGAAGTACGCCGCCGAAAGGGACACGGCCAAGCACCCCGGCCAGTTTGCATGTGTGCCCCAAAACACCCGCAAGAGGGGGAGTCCGTGTTCTTGCTGGTTCGATAGGCAGGGAATGAGACATGGAATGCCCCCTATAAACCATCCCTAATGGGTTTCCTGTAAGGGAATGTCTAGGTTCATTCCCAACACCCGGAAGGTCCTTTCCTACCCCAAGCAAGTATTGGCAGGAGGCTTATTCTGCCTGTCTTTGCTCTCATTGTGAAGATCCAGGTGGAAGAAACGAGGGATGACGAAACATAATCAAAGTCATTGGAGTGGACAATCCCAGCCATGAAGTCATTGGAGGAGACAATCCCAGCCATAAGGTGCTGAGATCCGGCCTCTGATTTCTGTACATGGACCAGGCCTTCTGAATACCAGAGTTTGATTTTATCGAAGCAGCGACCCCAGCTGAACCCCCTGCGTGGCTTGAAAAAAAAACGAGGCTTTCTTCTGACCCTCATTCCGGCATTGAGACGACGTTTCCGCCAGAAGTTTTTTTTTGAGGATGAGGGTCTTCGGGCCTTTCGTCACCTCACTAAGTCTTCAGAGGTTTGTTTGTTCCACTCGAGGCTTGCATCCCAACAGACGGACAGACATGTTTGCGCCAGGCAGCACAAGTCTGAGCTGTGCCAGGCGCAAGCCGCTTCGGGAGGGAAGATCGATGGCTTGCTGTGGAGTTCATTTCAAAGCAAACAGTGACTTTGCTTGGAAGAGTGCTTTATCCATTTCGTGAAGACCCGAACTTCTGCATGAGCGAGTCTTCGAGATCCGACAACTTGACGACTTCTCTGGCCAGTCGACACCGCGGAATTGCAGCTCAACGGGACCGAAGGTACCAGCTTGCCCATGTTTCTTGGGGGCTGCTGAGACCGTGCTTTCAACAGGTTGACTGGGTGCGCGGGGTGGGCAGAATCGCACAATCTTAGTTTCGATGGCCCTTGCTGGGCCAAGTTTTTTCTTGAACTACCCCTGTGTGTATGTAGCGGCACATATCAAATAAGTGCAGATGAGCGACGCCTGGCTGTTGTCGCCCCAAAGGTGAGAAGCAGATCCCCTCGAATAAGTGTGGCACTCCCAACAAGGTCAGCCAGGGACGTATTAATCCTGGCTTACATTCGCCAAGCAGGACACCCAGGGAGCCTCTTAGTCCTTTGTTTTACCCCAACGCCTCTCTGACCTAAGCCACCACTTCTGACCGTGGATCCACGAAATTCCTAGGTTCGGGGGAAGGGACTTCAATCTGCCTGTGCTTGTTGGGTCATTGGGGACTTTGGAGCTTGAGCTCCGGTTGTTTTGCACTTTTGGGGACAAGATCCCAAGACTGATAGGTCAAGTAATATATATATATACATAGATATGTATGTATATACGTACATAAATTGTACTCTCAGTTTGGCTCTAATCATTGACCAGGCGACCTGCCTTTCTGAAAAGGGATCCAGGTTGAGGACTCCCTTTATGGAGTTTAGGGACCAAAAGGCATGCCGTTTTCAAGGGAGCCCACAATTGCCGGCCAGTCTGACCTGTGCAAGCCGTACGTCCCAGAGCTGACAGATAGCGTCATGCTGAGATACTGCCGGCAACTGAGCGCGGGTGTACGGCCAGTTTTCAAGAAAATGAGGGCAGGGCGAGTATATAGCCGCTTTGCCCCAGCTCGAGGTGTTTCGGGCCTTGCAACAAGCATGACTGAGTCAGGTTGGTTCCGTGGTTTGTGTATTATACCCTGGCACTCCCATCGTGAAATAACCTCATCGGTTAGCTCCAGATAAGACCTGTTATTGTGGGCCTGCTTGGATCCTTACCCAAAAGTGTAATCCCAGTTCGTACAAACCCCCCAGAAATGCTTGTCGCTTTTGCGGTGACCGAGTGGGACCCTCTTAGGGACCCCTGCCCAGCGGAAAAATCGGGGGACACAAGTCAAAGGGATCCAAGAAGGAACCGGCCGTTTGGGCTAGTTTTCGCAGTCCCTGCTTTCACGTGGCTCGGGGTGCACTTGAAGGCTTCTTCCGGGAGAAGAGGGAACACCGCACAAGAACCAACCGGTTGGCAGGCGTACGGGCCGAAGCATCTTTGCGGTTCCCGAATGAGTTGCAGGAATGGGTGAGAATCACCCTCCTCTTCATGTTGTTTTTGTTGCTTTGCTTGATCTTAAGTGGGGAACATTTGGGTTTTGGGCCGAACTGATGGTGTCGCACGTGTTCGCGAGCTTCGGCGGGAACCCCTTGGTCTTCCGCGGGATTTCAGAAGCCTGAAGTTCATGCCCCCTTCGCTTCCCCGACCCCCAACCCAACTCCAAAGGGGCAGACACAACAACAAAACGGGTTTGGCGTGTTTGCCGCAAAAGAGGGGCGTGATGGTGGCATGTTTGGGATGCAGCCAGGGGTTTCGGTGCAACATGCAGAATGACAAGTCTCAGCTGAACAGAAACAGTAACAGCATGCGATTGTTGGCCGGATTGATTTGTGTTTTGAATAGAACGGTTCATGGACGGCTCACTGCAAAAGACATGGAAGCCAAAGGGCCAGCAAGGGATGGTTTGCCTTGGGGGCATTCTCATTACCCAGGTTCTTTAAAGGCAAACACCAGGATAGTTTTTCTTGGGGGCATCCCATTTCTCATTCCCTGCCGATTCCGCACCCGCAAGACGTTTTTTCCTCCGGGAGCAGAGTCGAGGCGGCGACTTCAGCAAGACCGGGGAGGACCGGAACCCCAAAACCGCCCGCGGCTGCGAGGCGCGGCCGGTGTGGACGGTCGGACGGTCTGACGGCAGTCGGACGCTTTGAACCGGTCGCCCGGTTTTTTTGAGAAGGCAAGATACCTGGACCAAAGGCCTACGTTTGAAAAATTGAGCAAGAATGCGTCTTGTTGGGGTTTTTCTGTCATTTCCCCCAGAAATTGCGTAGAAGGAAGCGCTTTCGCATCTGGTGGGATGAGTCTGCCCCGGGTTGAAGAGAATTGTTGGAGTCAATTCATAGACTTGTGCCGGGTCGCACAGGGTCGATTGGTATTGGGTACTAAACTTTTTGTCTTCCAGGCTCCAAAAGTCTCCCTCAAGGTGACCGGGTCGAATGGGAGCACCGTCTTACGCTTCGAGGACAACATCACGGCCCCAGTGCGCAAGTCTTTGGCCAATCACATGCAGGGTGGCCTAGAGCATAAGTGGACTGACGGGTTCCGCTGTCTGCATAATATATATATATATACAATAAATAAATAAATAAATAAATAAATACATCAACAAATACATATGAAGAATGAAGGAATGGAATGGAATGGAATGGAATGAAATGGAATGGAATGGAATGGAATGGAATGAATGGATAAACAAAAAACACAAGCCAGTAAATAAATAGTTGAATAAATAAACAAATAAACAATTAAATAGACACAGAAGCAAATACAAACATACATACATAGTCAAAAAACACATAAATACTTTAGAGCCTCCGGCTCAGTCCGCCGACATTGTCCTCTCCCTTTTCTCCTTCTTCCTCTCGCCCTTGTCTCCCTGGTGTGTTCTGTCGTCCTCTCTCCCTCCCTCCGCTCCCCATCCTCCCCATCCCCCCAAGCCACTCTCTCCCCAATCTCCCTCTCTCGTATGTATGTATGTATGTATGTATGTATGTATGTATGTATGTATGTATGTATGTATGTATGTATGTATGTATGTATGTATGTATGTATGTATGTATGTATGTATGTATGTATGTATGTATGTATGTATGTATGTATGTATGTATGTATGTATGTATGTATGTATGTATGTATGTATGTATGTATGTATGTAATGTATGTATGTATGTATGTATGTATGTATGTATGTATGTATGTATGTATGTATGTATGTATGTATGTATGTATGTATATGTATGTATGTATGTATGTATGTATGTATGTATGTATGTATGTATGTATGTATGTATGTATGTATGTATGTATGTATGTATGTATGTATGTATGTATGTATGTATGTATGTATGTATGTATGTATGTATGTATGTATGTATGTATGTATGTATGTATGTATGTATGTATGTATGTATGTATGTATGTATGTATGTATGTATGTATGTATGTATGTATGTATGTATGTATGTATGTATGTATGTATGTATGTATGTATGTATGTATGTATGTATGTATGTATGTATGTATGTATGTATGTATGTATGTATGTATGTATGTATGTATGTATGTATGTATGTATGTATGTATGTATGTATGTATGTATGTATGTATGTATGTATGTATGTATGTATGTATGTATGTATGTATGTATGTATGTATGTGTATGTATGTATGTATGTATGTATGTATGTATGTATGTATGTATGTATGTATGTATGTATGTATGTATGTATGTATGTATGTATGTATGTATGTATGTATGTATGTATGTATGTATGTATGTATGTATGTATGTATGTATGTAATGTATGTATGTATGTATGTATGTATGTATGTATGTATGTATGTATGTATGTATGTATGTGTATGTATGTATGTATGTATGTATGTATGTATGTATGTATGTATGTATGTATGTATGTATGTATGTATGTATGTATGTATGTATGTATGTATGTATGTATGTATGTATGTATGTATGTATGTATGTATGTATGTATGTATGTATGTATGTATGTATGTATGTATGTATGTATGTATGTATGTATGTATGTATGTATGTATGTATGTATGTAATGTATGTAATGTAATGTAATGTAATGTAATGTAATGTATGTGTATGTATGTATGTATGTATGTATGTATGTATGTATGTATGTATGTATGTAATGTATGTATGTATGTATGTATGTATGTATGTATGTATGTATGTATGTATGTATGTATGTATGTATGTATGTATGTATGTATGTATGTATGTATGTATGTATGTATGTATGTATGTATGTATGTATGTATGTATGTATGTATGTATGTATGTATGTATGTATGTATGTAATGTATGTATGTATGTATGTATGTATGTATGTATGTATGTATGTATGTATGTATGTATGTATGTATGTATGTATGTAATGTATGTAATGTATGTATGTATGTATGTAATGTAATGTATGTATGTATGTATGTATGTATGTATGTATGTATGTATGTATGTATGTATGTATGTATGTATGTATGTATGTATGTATGTATGTATGTATGTATGTATGTATGTATGTATGTATGTATGTATGTATGTATGTATGTATGTATGTATGTATGTATGTATGTATGTATGTATGTATGTATGTATGTATGTATGTATGTATGTGTATGTATGTATGTATGTATGTATGTATGTATGTATGTATGTATGTATGTATGTATGTATGTATGTATGTATGTATGTATGTATGTATGTATGTATGTATGTATGTATGTATGTATGTATGTATGTATGTATGTATGTAATGTATGTATGTATGTATGTATGTATGTATGTATGTATGTATGTATGTATGTATGTATGTATGTATGTATGTATGTATGTATGTATGTATGTATGTATGTATGTATGTATGTATGTATGTATGTATGTATGTATGTATGTATGTATGTATGTATGTATGTATGTATGTATGTATGTATGTATGTATGTATGTATGTATGTATGTATGTATGTATGTATGTATGTATGTATGTAATGTATGTAATGTATGTATGTATGTATGTATGTATGTATGTATGTATGTATGTATGTATGTATGTATGTATGTATGTATGTATGTATGTATGTATGTATGTATGTATGTATGTATGTATGTATGTATGTATGTATGTATGTATGTAATGTATGTATGTATGTAATGTAATGTAATGTAATGTAATGTAATGTAATGTAATGTAATGTAATGTAATGTAATGTAATGTAATGTAATGTAATGTAATGTAATGTAATGTAATGTATGTATGTATGTAATGTGATGTAATTTAAAGTAATGTAATGTGATGTTGTGTAATGTAATGTATGTATGTATGTCTGTATGTCTGTCTGTATGTATGTCTGTATGTATGTATGTATGTATGTATGTATCCTTGCACTTCCCCTTTGCTCCCCAGTATTTCCCGCAAAAAACACTGTTTTTCCAGCGTTTTCGCAAAGATGATGTCCAAAAACACAGAGTTTTTCCAGATTTTCGGCAAAAGGATGCAGGAAGCCCAAGCCAGCAAAAAAGCCGGCAGGGGGAATCGAGCCTGGGACCCCTGTTTTGCGACACCGGGTCCCCGAAGACTACGTTTAGTGGAACGTCATCAAATTGCCGCGCGGTCCCCCCCACGTATCAGACGTCGGGTGGGGGGGGGGTTAGGGGGGGGGGTTATCCTCTATCCTCTCTTAGGTGTCCGACACGCCAAGCAATGTCGGCGGACATAAATACATAAACAAACCCATAAATAAATAGATTTTTTATAAACAAATAAATAGATACAGAAGTATGCAACTCATACATGTATCTGCCATATTTTTTGGAGTTTTGAAGGGTAGACTGAAACCAAAGGTGGTTGATTCCTGGATTTTCTGTCTACCTTGGGAGGCGGAGGGACAAGAAGCTGGGGGCTCCTTTCACTCTTTCTTCACAAGGGCCGAAGAAATCTCCAACTTTCGTATGCCTTATCAGAGAACCAGGTCTTTTTTTTTGTGAGACTATCCTGAGTGGCATGTATTGTGGCTCGGGAAGCTGCCTGGGAAGAAAGGACTTCCCATGCCTCAAAAGTGGTCATGCACCCTGCGGTTTTTCGATGAATGTTGTGTCTTTCTCTTTGGCGCCCAGGTATATCACGCAGGATCACATATGCCCCATGTTTTGTTTTTTCTCCTTTTTGGGCCGATCATGGTTTGACAGGCGCTTTTTTTGGGGGGGGGCGGGTATTTCCAGGTCCCTCTTTTTTGGGTCTACAAGTTTCCCTGGCCGTCCTCTGGTTGTCAATAGCCTCATCCTTGCCCCAGCCGTTGCGAGCGCCTGAGTGTAGAGGTGTGCTCTCCTACCCCAAAATTCTAGAGGTATTGAATGCATATGGGTGGATCTTTCCAGGGAGTGCCCCCCCCCTGCACTGATTAGGAAAGGTTCTTGGAAGCTTCGTAAAAGGGGTTCTGATCGAAAGGGTTCTCATCATCTCTGTCGGAGACAGGGACCCGTATGGACAAAAGCAAGCCTTTCGGGGTGATTTAATTTGCCTTCAAGGAGTATGTGAAAGAGGTATGTGCAAACACACTCCTCGATCCAGCTGCGGGTGGGCGAAGGTAGATGTCGCAACTCCAACCATGTTGGTTTAGTCATTCCCTGAATACACCCACATTTGCCTGGAATTCTACCATCTGCTGGTACACATTGGTGAATTTAGATGGCACAGTTCCCGTTCTTTGTCTAAGTGAAGGGCATGACAAATCCACATGGGTCGGACTTGCGACATGTACTTTCACTGCACAAACATCCCAGATCCTAAAGAGAACGCCCAAAGGAACGCCCCGTGTCCAGATCATTTTGACAAACAAGATGGTGGACACCCCCCAAGAAAATGGCTGGTTTACTTCTGATCTCCCTTTAAAACCAACCACATGGGAGTGTCTTTCTTGAAAGATGCTTTTGTTTTGGGTTTTAAAGGGAAACAAAAACGGACAGCTTCCATTCTGGTGGGTGCTACCCAAATACAACTGGACACCTTGCAAATGGTTACCCCCGAAGACAAACACAAATCGACCCGCCCATCCTTTTTTTTCTTGGTTGGTTGGTTGCTTGGTTGGTTGGTTGGTTGGTTGGTTGGTTGCTTGTTTGGTTGGGTGGTTGGTTGGTTGGTTGGTTGGTTGGGTGCTTGCTTGCTTGCTTGCTTGCTTGCTTGCTTGCTTGGGTGGTTGCTTGCTTGCTTCGCTTGCTTGCTTGGTTGCTTGGTTGTTGGTTGGTTGGTTGGTTGGTTGCTTGGTTGCTTGGTTGTTGGTTGGTTGGTTGGTTGGTTGGTTGGTTGGTTGCTTGGTTGCTTGCTTGCTTGCTTGCTTGCTTGCTTGCTTGCTTGCTTGCTTGCTTGCTTGCTTGCTTGCTTGCTTGCTTGCTTGCTTGCTTGCTTGCTTTGGTGGTTGCTTGGTTGCTTGGTTGGTTGGTTGGTTGGTTGGTTGGTTGCTTGCTTGCTTGCTTGCTTGCTTGCTTGCTTGCTTGCTTGCTTGCTTGCTTGCTTGCTTGCTTGCTTGCTTGCTTGGGTGCTTGCTTGCTTGCTTGCTTGGTTATTTGCGTGGTTGGTTGGTTGGTTGCTTGGTTAAACGGGCTGGTTGGTTGGTTGGTTGGTTGGTTGGTTGGTTGGTTGGTTGGTTGGTTGGTTGGTTGGTTGGTTGGTTGGTTGGTTGGTTGGTTGGTTGGTTGGTTGGTTGGTTGGTTGGTTGGTTGGTTAGGTGGTTGGGTGGGTGGGTGGGTGGGTGGGTGGTTGCTTGCTTGCTTGCTTGCTTGCTTGCTTGCTTGCTTGCTTGCTTGCTTGCTTGCTTGCGTGCTTGGTTGCTTGGTTGGTAGGTTGGATCCTGTCTGAGGTTCAGCCACTGCGGGGCCTGGTGTTTGTTCGACTACGATGCCACCGACTCGGTGGCCTACGCCTGGGATCCTGCGAGGGGCTGCTGGGAATCGGGAGGCGGGGAGTCGAGGAGTCGATTTCGATTTCGCGTTCCTGAGGTTCTGGACTTTTCATTATGTTTTGGGGGTTGGACCATTTGAGTGGTAAATAGCAAGTTTGGGGACATTTTTCGGCCTCAGGAAGAGACAATTTGCGGGTTTCCTTTTGAGACATTTTTGAAGGAGCCCCCTTTTTGGCGCCTTGGGAGGTAATTAATTGTTGACACACCCATTCCAATCATGACTGTCTTCCCACTCCAAGAGCAAGCTACTATTTGGGGGATGTGGCAAAGCCGGCAGAACACCAGCAAATGGCGCTGGGGTTCCAGAGCCTGTCCACTTCCCTAGGAGCCTATAGCCTAGTGTTAAGTTTCTGGTGGTGCTCGTGCGAACGAACGTGCGCGAAGTCCTCGGTGCACCCACCACCCACCACTTACCACGCCACCTACCCACCACCACCACCGCCGCCGCCGCCGCCGCTGCCGCTGCCGCTCCCGCCGCCACCACCACCACCCACCAGCTACCGCACCACCTACGCACCACCACCTACGCACCACCACACCCCCCCACCACCCACCACAGGGACAGTGGAGACACAGGGAAGGCAGCCCCCATGCGCCGGAAAAAGGGCTATGATTTTTTAATACAAACCCCCCTCAAAAGTGGTTAGTGGACATCAATCTCCACCAACTTCTGATGCCCACGCAAATGGTCCCTTACTGAAATTCACACCCACATTGAACTTTGTGAGCAACCCCAATTTCCTAGTGCGAGTGGTGATCCGGAGGTCATGCGCAGTTTCGGGATTCGGGATTTAGTCACCTTCCGGGATTCAATCACATTTTCGGGATTCAGATTCAAAATTCGGGATTTGGGATTGGTTTCGGGATTCGGGATTCGGGATTGGATTCGGCCAATCACATTCTGCACCAGCTTCTCCGGATAAAATAGCAGCTTTTGAAGGAGGAATCCAGTGGCGTCTGATAATGTGCATAAACGAAATCATGCACCACCTGAGCAAGCCTGGTTTCTGATGAGTCCCCTGTAAATGCCAACAAAATTTGGATTTCGTCCATCTACCGAATTGCTCCGAATCACTCGTCCCTTCGACTTGGGGATTAAGAGGGGTAAACGGCCATGGCCGGAGTTTTGCCTGCACACATCGGGCCTGTAAATTGGTTGGACTGGACCCTCGAACTACCCCACTCCAAATACCCTCTTTTTTCAGGGTATCATGTCGACACTCCACCTAAAAGGGAGCCCAAAAATGCCCTGAAGCAAACGGGTATTTTGAGCAGGGGGTAGTATCATAGCCAAATTCAAGTTGACACGTTTCCCATCCGATCGGACAGGCTGCCTGGGCCATCCTGAGCAGGCGCTAGCAATGGCGCGCCGCGCCTCCGCCTGCGAGGCACTGGGCGCTTGCTCGGGGCGTGCGCGCGGCTTTTGAGCGGTCGGGGCCGGGGCTGTGGGGACCCCTCAGCGCGTTGGCTACTTTCGTGGGAGGATGTTAGTGGCAAAACCCAAACAAACATGGACTTTTGTTGGCCAATCCATTCAGGAAGAGTTGCTTGGGTCAACAACCTCGTTGGGAATCTGATACCCAAGGATTGGTTTTGATTGCTTTTTGTTTTTTTCTTGTGGCTCAAAATTCGGAGATTTAGTTCTTGGCTGGCCATGAAGTGAGTGCCGGGCGGGGAACGTGTTGCTTTCATTTCAAGATCCGGAGTTCTCGCCTGGGGCCCGTGACACCCAGTATACCACCACCACGACGACCAGTACCAGCACCACCACCTCCACCACAACCACTACCACCACCACGGTCTCGGACTCAGCGGGTTCGGTGAGTTTGCAACGGTGCCCGTTGGGTTTCCCTTCAAATGCCTAGAGGGGCTCTGGTTTGTTGGCAGGGCATCGTTCTTTGGCTGGCTTGAAGGGAAAACCGAATTTGCTTCTTTGAGTTTGCGGGGTTTCAGGTTGCCACTTTCTGTGAGTGGCGAGAATCCATGTCCTTAAAAATAAAGTCGTGGGAACGACCCAAACTGGTATCACCGATCATCGGGCGACTTCCTACATGTGCAACCCTTCATTTTGTCTATTGCGAGTAGTTTGCGAGCGATTCCCCGACATTCTTCCTTCTGTGTTTTTCAACGATGGGTGCCCTTGACCCTCAAACAAAAACACGTATTTCCAGAGATCGACCCAAAAGAAACATTTGTTTTTTCAGCAAACACGGTGGTCTTGGTGTGGCGCTGGGGGACAGGGCATCCGCAAAACGCTAAGACGACCAGCACCACCACCACCTCCACAAGCACCTCGACCTCCACGACGACCACCACCACCACCACAGCCTACTGCTCAGTGGGTCGTTTTCCTGTTGGCTCTGCGCCTTTTCCAGTGGATCCCGTACGAAAGGTATTTTTCTTTTTGGCTTTGTGTTATTTTTTGCTGGAGAGTCCTTCTCCAGTGGATTCCAGTCGTTGCATAAGTGTGGCAATATTGTAGTCCATCTACTGTTTCTTTATTGCTTCATAATACTAAAAGATGATCTTCTTTTCTCAAGCGAAAGATAGGTCAGCACTTGTCCATGGCGTGAATCGTGAAAGGATGGTCAGGGCTCCTTGCCTCGGGTTACGAAAGGAAATCCCCTTTGTGGTTGTTTACTAAAGGAATATGGAAGTTGGAATTGGGCACTCCATTTTAAACAGCCAGCGTGATTTCCTTTGATGTGCCTTTGTTTCGTTTCATGCTTTTTAGCGTCGCGCGGAGTCACTCTGTCTATCCGAGAGAGAGAGAGAGAGAAAAGGCAGTCACTGGGCCACTGGGTGTTGTTGAAATTTCGAGAGTCCTCAATGTCCCTCCCATATCGACCATTTGCTGGACATTTGGACCCAACATGTCTTGGTTAAAGCGAGATCCCTGGTCAAGGTCCGGGCGCTTGCCGGTTTTGCCAGTATTTGTCAAAACAAGGCCTCTGGTTAATGGTTGATCCTCAATGCTCAGTGCATGGACTTTAACCTTTTTTGGACAACCACTTTGGTTGTAAATGAAAAGTTCGAACCTTTTTGCCCCTCCACTCAGGAAGTGAGTCAAAGTGGTTGGTCTGGTCCAATTGGACCCCTTGCGACAAAACACACGCGGTGTGGGTTCCGGGTGTTTCCCTCATGCAGCACAGCCAAGGTTGAGCCATTCCTGAAGATTGGGGTTTCAACGACAACGTTCACCCATAGGTTCTTCCAACGATCCTTCCACATCAGGTAGGCTTATTTGGATTTCCTTTTGGGCCTCCTCCAAAAGCGTTTATACTTGGTAGAGAAACATGCATCAGACCGAGCAGGGCCAAGCTCAGCATCGCCTTGGAAAGGCCTTTGTGCAGCAAGCATCTGTGGAGTGAGGCTGGTTGGAAGTCTACCCTCTTGGTGGACGATCAGAGGGTTGTGGAGAGAAAAACCATCCGATTTGAACAGGCCGCAGAAGTCTACTTGCGTAGGAGACGACAGAATCCACCGACTAGGTGTCTTATCCCTTCGGGTTTCACCCATCGCAAATGGTGTCCATCCGCAGGAGGGAAGTTTTTGAAGGCGATGGGCTTTCTCTCTCAAGGGGTCCCCCCCGCCCGCCCGGAGGCACTCGGAGACCCTCACATCCCGCATTTTTCTCGTGCCGAGTCGACCAGCACAAGCACCACCTCCACCAGCACCACAACCTCCACCACCGTTACAAGCACCACCACGGCCTGGCACTCAGACATCAAAAGGTACCCTCCCACTCCAAAACTCTAGAAAACGGTTTGGATGCGGCCTTTGTGGATCCATTAAAAGAGTATCAACGAAAAAAGGGCCAACAGGGGGCAGAATCCACAAACAGTGTCTCCAAGCCGTTTTCTAGATAAACATAGCGATTCGGTCTTTTGACCGAATCGCCCAGAGAGACCTTTTGGACAACTTAACGTCTTTTCCATTAGACCCACAAAGGGTGATCGACATCTTTGGCTCAGAAGAGCAACCTAGTACAGCGGGGCTGGGCACCCGCGACACAGCAGTATCAGACAATGTTTAGAGTTCAGAGGGATTTGTGACACATGGATACGGTTGTTGAAATAGGGAGCCCCCCCCCCCCAATGGTTGCCTTTTTTCCGTTTGGTTCCCCTTTCAAGCAACCAACAAGGGGTACCCTCAAAAAGCACGTACCCACATGCTATTAAAAGGTTGATCCTTCTGGCAAGGGATCAACTCGAAGTTGGCTTATATAGACTTACCCACCTGTGTTGCCATGGAACCCACCTGTGAGAAACATGTTCTGTTCTCCGAATTTAGAGGAGAATGGATTGCCCAAACCAGCCACATGGGTTCTCCTTGGATTTCCCCACGCAAAGCATGCGATCACTGGAAGGTTTGAGTCTGACGCAAGTGGATTGGGTTCCTCGAACCTCGGCCTTTGGGAAATGGCCAGTGGTTTCCACACGGATCTTTGAACAAAAGTAGTTCAACATGGGCGGCCCGTCTTTTTTTTTGTGGTGCCTAAAGTTTGGCTGGCTAAGGGCAACCAATAGTTGAAACCGAAGCCTATGTTCGAGCCGCCAGGGTTCACAAGCAAGTTTGGCAGCCAAACAAAAACACCACAACGCAAGAAGCTGGGTATCAGTATCTGCAGCAAGGGGCAGTCGGCACCCCACCTATTGCCAGATTTGACCCACGGTTTTTGCCTTTTGCCCCTTTGGGGTCCTTGAATCACTCGAGTTCACGGGCCTTGGCCTTTTTGGGAAAGGCCATGTTAGTTGTACATATCAGGCGCAGACTGTTGTTGGCCAGTCCACTCGGGAAGTGAGATTCTCCCTTTCAACCAGGGGACAGCGACAACTTGCGGGTGCTCAGCGGGGAATGCGGGACCCCTATAAACCATCCAACTGGTGGTTCCTGGGTTCATTCCCTCCTTCCCTACTTGTCACATCAGCAAGAAAGCGGTTTGTAGTCGCATCAGTCTGGTCATGCACTCACTCTAAATCAGGGCTTGGCCCGCGGCTCAGTCGACGGTCACCACCACGACGGTGACTTCCACCAGCACCAGCACAACCACCACCACCACTTCCACGGCCCACAGCCCGGAGAGAGAGCCATGGGTCGTGGGTGTGTCAGGGGTGGTGTGCTGTCACCTCCCACTAGCTTAGAACCTCACCGGGGGCGGTTGGAAGCCATTCTCCTTAAGATAAGAGTACTTGTGGTGGTTGAGGTGCCATGTTAGTTGGGAGTGTTTTGACTCAACTTGTGGCCAAGAGTTTTTCAACACTCGCGTAGAGAATATCAACTAGGCCGCAAGAACAAAGTAGCACAGATGTAGCGAATGCAGGGAGGGAAGGTTCAGAATCCCCCGGGGATTAGGGAAGAAGGACGTTTGAAGCTCAGAGATTATGAGGGATGAAAATGGGAAGAGTATGGCAGGCAAGACTGTTGCACGTATGCCAGGACAATCTATGCGAGACCGTGTGATATCGATTGCCTTTAGAGATGAATGAGCAGGGGCCTGATCGCAAGAAATTCCGGACGCTAGGAAATGGATGTTTCCTCATGGACACATATGTCCTTTGCTTTTTCCGATTGCAAGTGGACCCACATAGATCCAAATCATCAACAAACGTGGAATGTCAATGTCCGAGTCAACATGTCCTGCTCTGCAGTCGCTGCCCAAATTCAATCATGGAACCTACAAGGGACCCGGGAAGAGACTTGTCCTCCAGGGACCCTGTTCCATGTCGAAAAAGCTTCTGGAAGGGTAACAATGCCCAACACATGAGGCGAGCAACAGGCACATTGTCAAGTGATAACTCGCGCAGGAGCTTGTCGCCATAGAATGCAATAATATATATATATATATATATACATATATATATATACACACACTTATTATACATACAGAAATACATATCTATACACATATACTGTACCTATCTCTCTCTCTCTCTATATATATATAGATAAGACCTGGTCATTACAGGGGTCTACCAGTCCACCGGGCTTGAAGGCTTGACCTTCGATTGCAGGGTGTCCTTTAGCCTGAATCACAAAGGGGCACGAAGCTGGCATTTTCCCTTTGAGCTCAAAGGGTTTGCCAAGATGTGTGTCGCGGGTGGCCGGCTCGAGGTTTGCCTTCGGTCCCTTGGATTTTCTTTAGGCTTCTGTTGGTTTTAGGCTTCTGGCCCCCCCCAAAGAAACAAGCAGCAAACACCCTGGGGAAGCCAGCGCAAGATGCCATGGAAAGTTTTGCAGGGCAACCCTTGTCGGCTTTTGAAGGTTTCCGGTCCAAGCCCCCGCCACAACTTGGGCCGGGCCTTGACCACAGAGTGGCCGGGTTGGCCCTGCCTTGATACCCTCTGCACTCCCAGTCGACCACAACGACCAGCACCAGCACCGTGACATCGACGACAACCACCACCACCACCACATCGACAGCCGGCGGCCAAGTTCCACCTTGGGTCAGCTACTGCCTTGGAAGCAGAGAGCCCCGCCCCCGCCTAATAAAAAGAAAGAAGCCAAGAAGCACATGTGCACGCTACCAATACTGTGGATGGCTGCACCACCTAAGAAACCCTGGAATGCTGATTTCCATGTACATACCAACATACCAACATACCAACAAACACTGGTGTCCCATGGTTTCAAAGTGGTGCGAAATGAATTTCGTCCATCGACGGTAGTGGCTTCCAACCGGGGTTTTGGAGGGCATCCCTTTTGAATATTTTCCTTTGAAGCGCCCAGCCCACCACAAATGCCCCGCCGATACCCTCTGCACGCCGAGTCGACCAGCACGACCAGCACCAGCACCGTGACATCGACGACGATCACCACCACCACCACGTCGACAGCCGGCGACCAAGCTCCACCTTGGGTCAGTTACTGCCTTGGAAGCAGAGGGGCCTCTTCTCACGGGGGACCCTGTTTTATTTGACCTTCAGCCTGTTCTTTGGGCCCACAAACCGAAATGGAGGTGAACAGACAGCTTCTGGGTGGAACAAGAGGGTTCCCTACGTTGTATGCCACTTGAGCGATACCCCTATTCCAACTCCAACTACCACCCTTTTATGGCATGATGCCAAGCCCATATATATATATATCATTGTAAATATAGTTCTCCCCATTTGTTTTTAACATGAAGCCAACAGGGGTCAACCAAAGAGGAGTCCTCACGAATTCCCCAGTCGAAAAGGGGCGGTTGCCCACCCCGTACCATGTTTTGTCCGCCAGATTCATGGCTGGGATTTTCTTACAAAGGAGTGGGAGCCACCAAATCAAGCCCCTTTTCAGATCAGTTAAAGTGCCCCAACTGATTCTTGGGAGAATCAACGAATCCCAGGAGGTGCGACACACACACACACACATATATATATATATATATATACACATGGTTTTTCCACCCATCTTCCCATTCCCCTCATTTACCTCAAAGGCCTGGCTGGTTGGTTGGCTGCTTGGCCCTCGGAGGTCACCACCACGACGGTGACCACCACCATCACCACCACCACGACCACCACCACGTCCACGGCCCGGGGCCCTGAGAGCCCAAGCTTCGGATTCGGGGCGGTTTCCCGGAAATTCGGGCCGGATGGAGGTGATATTTTCGGAATTCGGAGTTCCGGTTTTCGCGTTTTTTTTTTGGTTGGTAAGGTGTTGTCCTTTTTTTGGCCGGTAGGTCTTTGGTCTTTTTGGGTCATGATTAACTCTTCTTTGCAGTTCGTTTTTGAGTGGATATTTTTTATTTGAAGAGGAATGTTTAGGTAGTATCGTACTCAGGGGCGAGTTGTCCCCAAAGTACTGGTATGGAGATTGAGGGTATGGACTACTTAGTCAACGGCTGCGCTACATGCTTGCATTGGGATACAAGCCTTCCACCTCCCAACCACATACTTGAACGGTGGTAGATGTTGATCGGGCACTCTTGCCAGTGTACTGGGGGATCCTTGGACGTCCTTTGCAGGCATCCCTCTATCGAGTCTCTATCGAGGGGAACATTTCAAGAGTTGTTCTACCGTGCTCCATCACCATGTTTGGTTGGCCAAGGGAAGCTGTTTGCCAGATGGCCACGTGGTTCGTCAAGTAGCGACTTAGATCCAAGGAGCCACGGCCTGTTTGCCTTGTTTCCCTGCCAGCCTTGAGGTAACGACGACTAGTACTACCAGCACCTCGACCACCACCAGTACCTCAACCACCACGACTTCCACAGCGACTTGAAATAGGAAGTTGCACCCAAATGACTTGCTGGTTCTCAGCAGGGAAGGAGGGAACGACCTCTACAAACCATCCCCAAGGTTTCCTTTTAGGGAATCCCTTGGTTCATTCCTAAAACCCGTAAGATAGTTCCCTACCGAGCAAATTTATCTTCTCTTTGAACCAACCCAAAATGGCGATCGGAAAGCAGGCCCAATTCCTGCCACATGGTGGTTTCTGTGCGTTCTTTTGTTGTGGTGTCGCACCCTACTTCGAACAACCCAGCATTTTGTCCTGAGGCAGTATAAATATACTTGGAATAGATGGTAGTATATACCCCTCTTGTACATCTCAGCTCGAAATCCTATACCTGAAAGATGGTTTGCATGGTTTCGTGATTCCCTGATGGTTTCTGACTGGGTCTCCGATCCCAAAACTACTTATATTTTAGGGTGGTCGAAAAATGAAGCAATATCTGAAAAGCATATCTTCTGTGGACCCAGATGGGGGCCAGGCTTGATACTCCCCGAATCCTCATTGAATATACTACAGGGTCGGGTCGGTCGTCTACAAAAGCAGGCTTTTCCTGACACCACCTTGAAGTCAGGAGACCCTACACAGGTTCAGCCAGACAGATTCCGAATCACCGTCGTCATCATCATCATCATCATCATCATCATCATCATCATCATCATCATCATCCATCATGCGGATGCGACCCACGAGGCGCGCCCTTTGAGGCAGAGTTAGGTCCGGCACCCACATCCTGGAACTTGCCTGCTCAGTCGACCACCACCACCACCACTTCGACCACGACCATCACCACCACGACCACTACTCAGACGGCGCTTCGGCTGCGGGGCTTCGGGGCTTCGGGTTCGGGGTTTGCCACGAACTCCCGATTTTTGGACCCTCAAACAACCTTTAACATGGTGGAGATCCCCCCAAACTCTTGGGGGGCAAGATTCGGCAAGATGTATGATTTGAAAGGGCACTTAGAGTGGCGGTGAGTATGGTGAGTGGTTTGCCATCCTTCTTGGCTTCTTTGAACTCCTTTTGGGATTGCTTTAGCAGAGGCGCTCGCGTGGGACCAGTCATGCGGAATTTCTATTGGGGAAGTTGGCTCAAGGCTTTTGTTTAAGCCGAGTTTATTTGAGCAACACAGTGGATGGGCGAAATCCTGCCCCACCGTTCAGAAACCCAGGTTTCTGATGGTTCCCCTGTATATACCAACAAGCTATGGTTTCAACCATGGATTCTTAAGTGGTGCGACATAGATTTCGCAACCATCCACAGTAGGTGTTTAAACCATGGCTTCCCGCGCGTTTCGCTGTGTTCGCGATGTTCGCGCAGACCACATCAACCACCACCACCACATCGACACACACGGCGGGGCGCCAAGAGACTGGCTTTGGTGCGCCCGAAGCCAATTCACTGTTGGTTCCACCAACATGAATATACTGGTTGATATGGGACCTAACCCTTTTGGGGTTTTGGGGCGCTCAATTGAAAGGTCGAAGGGCATATGCATTTTGGACGGTTTGAAGATTTGTACGAGCGATTGCACCCATGAAGGTCCGTTAGCTGCGGGCTTCACTTATTTTCAGTTTGGGAGTTACCGCGCAGGAGTTACCGCGCAGTTTGCCCAGAGTTCTGGAGACGGGTACCTGGACCCTGCAAGTGCCCAGCAAATCGGATACTGCCCAATGGTCTGTTTGGGCGCAGATATGGTCCCAGCTCCGGGTTCCTCGATGAGGGCTAATGCTATAAAACTGACTCTGACTCTGGCATTTGGAATCGGCCAGACAACAAGCACTACCACTACCAGTACCTCAACCACTGCGGCTTGGCTTCAAAGGAGTGCTGAGATGCGCAGCTTTGAAACGCTTTGGATGCTCATTTCGCTTATGCTCTTTCTCTCTCTCTATCCCTCCCCTCCCCTCCCCTCCCTCCCCTCCCTCCCTCATTGTGAGACTCAGACACTTTTGGAATCAACTACCCAACAAAACAAGTGCCCCTCTTTTTCCAAGGCCATCGAAAGTTTGAGGCTGGTAAAGTATCCTAGTGAGGAAGACTGCGTCACGGACCTGAAGCGAACACGCGCTTCACTGCCGAATGCTTTGGTTATGAATGGGGTTACGGAGTTATAACTTCTCGTGATGGGGTACTGGGTGGGAGAAACACGCTACCCAAAGCATGAGGAATTTGATGCACCCTGCCCCCCCGGGGCCTTGGAGTTTCCCCTTTCGCTCGCAAACCCGATTGTCCGGGTCCCTCAAAGGAGCCGCGAATTCAAACCCGTGGTTTGAGGGGGACTGTGAAAGCCTCATGGCCATGTGAGGCTCGGTATGGTCCATTTGTTGGGTCGTGGGAGATGTCCAAACCACCAAGTGACCCACTCATTTTTTCCATGTCCTGGATATACCTGCGTACTCTTGACCGCTATCTACCAGTTGAAGGTCAGGTGTGCACGCCGCCATATCTTCCTTAGCTTGGGGAGGACTAAGAAAGGTAAAACAACATAACTCGGGCTGGTGTCTGCCTTCACCATCTGCAGAATCCACTCATTTCCCTTAGCATTGTCCATGGATTGACCATGGAAAAGATATGGCTAGATCAAAACACACCCTCAATATCCCCACTCTGTGGTTCGGGGATGCTCTGAGTCTCAAGGAATGAAGGAATGATGGCTGAGCAAATCCACCCCTTGTGGTTTCCTGCATTCGAAAATGCCATTCGGGTGAACCCGAAGGTTCAAAACCAAGTCTTGGTGAAAGGGAGCAACCCCTTTTTCGGGTAGCTGTCCACTGGGGACCCAACATGGGGGTGAGTGCTCGCTTCCCGAGTTCCTGGACTTGAGCTTTTTTGGATCCGACCATTCTGCAGCAAAAGTCAAGTTGGACTCGTGGCCCGTCCGTACAAATAATCCGGCACCCACAGAAGAGAAGAAGAACGAAACAACACACTACAAGGTATATCGGTGTGTCCTTTTTCGAAGGTGTCTCCTTTTTGGTGGTAAAGGCGAGAAGGAGAACCCGCATGTGGGTACCATCCAAAAAAGGCAACGGCATATGGTGAGTGCCTGCGGGTGCTGTACACGGGAAACAATTGGCATGCGCCTCGCTCGCTGAGACCTGCAGACCGGAAGTGGCTGTGAACAGCCAGGATCGAATGAAGGGCTACTGCAGCGCCTTGGTGCGGAGAATGCAGCGCCTTCTGTTGGAGTTGGTACTCGTTTTGAGGCTACCCCAGGTGGGTGTTTTTTTTTCTTCTTTTTTCGGGAACCCTTTGTGGGGTTGGTTGAACAATAAGGGAAAGCCAAAGGCAACTCACTTCTCGTTGGGGTGCCCGTGTTTCAAGACACGCCCGCATGGCTTCACTCACCGGTGCCCTGGCAATACACTTCCAAGGGAGTGGTAGCTTTGCGGGCCAGAGAAGCTCCTAGGTTCGGGAATCCGGGAAGAGGTTCTAGAAGGGCTTCAGGGTTGGGGGATATCACCTGAGCCACAATCAACACCCGGGTAGATGAAGGTTAGCAAGGGGCAGTCTCAACCATAAATGGGTGCAGCCGCTCTTCATTCTTTACGTGGCTTAAGGCCATTTAAATACCCACCTGCAAACCCCGAAACTATGCATACTCAACAGCTATCATCATCCAAGTAGCCCTTGGGGACCAAGTCCAACTCGATTGAGTTGGTTGGTGGCAGGCTAGGCCGGATTGATACACGTCCTCGCTTTGGCTGGTGACTGGTGTATGAATCCCGGGTTCCCATTAAACCACTTTCGTTCCAAAAGCCGTTTTGCTTCCCTTCTTTGTGCGAT